CACTGTGGGGCGCCAGTGATATTTGAGAATGATCTTAGCTGTAGGTGGTCATTTGCTGATCATTTGCCCCCATCTCGATTCGCCATCTTTTCCACCTAACTCACCTAACTCCCCGTGAGCGATATTTGAGAATTCCCTTAACTCACGCCTTCCCCACCATTGCGCTTCCACATTTACTGCACATCTTCATGCCCTCTGCTCTGCCTTGCTGCCTGCCCTCTCTCTCCCACACCCTGTCACTTACTATCTCTTCTACCTCTCATCCTCCCAACAGGCTGCAGCTGTCGACATCGTTGTCCCTGCCCTGCTAAAAGTCGGGTGTTGAGGCAAGTCCTCCCCTCCCGTCTCTCGAAGCCCACCTGTCCGCCACTGACAACTCCTTCCCTCTCCTCCTCCCCTCTCCTCCTCCCCTCTCCTCCTCCCCTCTCCTCCTCCCCTCTCCTCCTCCCCTCTCCTCCTCCCCACAGGCTGCAGCTGTCGACGCCTTCGCCCCTGCGCTGCTGCCCCTCTGCCCGCCCTCCCATATACCACCTCCCCTGCATGCACCTGAAGCAACGGCCCTCCCCACAGGAGCACCTAAATCGACAGTTACGCCCTTCACTTTTGCCACATCAATGGCAGCGCCAGTGCCAGCATCAGCAGTGTCAACACCAGCACCAGCACAAGCAGCATCACCATCGCATTCCAGATTTCAATCAGCGTCCACGGCTTCAGTGTCACCCTCCCCCTCAGCTTCATTGTGGGATGCAAATGAGGCGTGGCAGGAGGCATGGCAAGAGCGAGGCATGTACCCTGAGGAACCCAACTTCACCGCTCTCCATCTCTCAGTTTTTGGTTCGTTGCCTTTCCCAGATACTCGTAGACTTGTTTTGTTTCCTACGGATGTACGCACCTACCCTCGCTCATCTCCCTCGTCTCACATCCTTTCAGGTTTATGCAATGAGCAGTATGCTTATTGTCAAGTTCTTGTCAGCTGATTGTTAGCTTTATTGCTCTCTCGTTTGTCGGTAAGCGTGCTGCTCTCTCTCTCTCTCTCTCTCTCTCTCTCTCTCTCTCTCTCTCTCCTCTCTCTCTCTCTCTCTCTCTCTCTCTCTCTCTCTCTCTCTCTCTCTCTCTCTCTCTCTCTCTCTCTCTCTCTCTCTCTCTCTCTCTCTCTCTCTCTCTCTCTCTCTCTCTCTCTCTCTCTCTCTCTCTCTCTCTCTCTCTCTCTCTCTCTCTCTCTCTCTCTCTCTCTCTCTCTCTCTCTCTTGCCCATGTCACCTCTTGGTCTCTCCTTACGATCTCTCCTCGCACATGTTCCTCATTGCATGTGCATCAGAGAAGTGGGCTGTGGATGTTGCAGCTATGTTTCACAAGGAGCTGCTGGTCAAGGTGAGATGGATGGAAACACTTAGTGAAGTAATTGCTGGTCAAGGTGAGATGGATGGAAAAACTTGGCTGAAAATTGCTGATCAAGGTGCGATGCATGGAAACACTTAGCCAAGCAATTACTTGTGAGATTACAAGTTGTAGAGATGCATCAGGCATGTCCTAATGACCTGCACACCAGTGCAAAACATGTCTCCCTTTGATTTTGTGCATTCTTCACTTTCAAGCAACTCACTGTATGTTTCGTATCTGTATCACTGCACCACCACTACTTCACAATCCCTCCCTTCCCTTCTTCCTCCTGCACCCCCGTTCCGCCCCACCAGAGGCTCATAGTCTCTTCTCTCAACGCAGCAGTCAGCCTTGAAGCCACCACTGCACGCACCACCACCGCCACTCCAACCACCACCGCTCGTAGCCCGCTCAAACTCCCTCTCAACATCCCTCCACTGTGCCTGCCACGCACTGACTTGCCGCCTGCTGCTGTGCATTCTCTCCAAAGTGCTGGTACTGCTGCTGCAGGTGTGGCTGCTGCACCTGATGAAAGTGCCGTTGGCACAGAGGAAGAAGCGAGCTCGGGTGGAAAAACAGAAATAGAAACAGGTGGAGGCAGGTTGGGAACAGCAGAAGCAGCAGGAGCTGCAGGAGCTGCAGGAGCTGCAGGAGCTGCAGGAGCTGCAGGAGCTGCAGGAGCTGCAGGAGCTGCAGGAGCTGCAGGAGCTGCAGGAGCTGCAGGAGTAGCAGGAGCTGCAGGAGTAGCAGGAATACCAGGAGCAAGCGCTGATGCAGCCACATCACGACACGAGGACGGCAGTGGGACACCAGTGGCAAGAGAAGAAGCGGCAGAGAGAGAAACAGTGGGATGCTTGCAGGGAGAGGGGATGGGGAGTAGTGGCGGGGATACGGAGGCAGTGATTGGTGGAGAGAGTGAGGGAGGAGGGCAGGGGGGGCGTGATCAGGGGGCAACTGGCATGCTGGATGGACAGAACGGAGGGAAGAGACAGGCATGGGCAGAGGGACATGGATTGTCACTGGGGCTTAGTGCAGCAGAGGGATGTGAGTGGGCGGTGATGCAGCAGCAGTTGGAGCAGTCGGGGCTGCTTGCCCGCCCGCCCACGCCACAACAGCTACAGGTGGGGTGTGCTGTTGGAATTTGTATTATTGACCCTCAAAAGTGACTTACATAGTCAGGGCTGCTTTTTCACTCGCCCACGCCACAGCAGCTACAGGTGAGCTGCCTTTTTTTTTCCTCTGAATACTCACAGCCCTTGCTACAACTGCAGGAGAGAACCTACTTTTGCATTGTGTTTGGCACGACCAGTCAGTGAGTGGTTCTGTTATTCATTTCGCTCACCACGTTTTCGTCTCTGCTTGCTTGCCTGCTCCCCGCCATCTTTCAGTGGTCTACTTACCTATAATGTTGCATGTCACAATCATCTTGCACGGCATGTTATCCCCTGTGCTTGGTTTCCTGCTGGCAAATGTGGCTGGTGGCATGGCTGGTGGCATGGCTGGTGGCATGGCTTGTGGAGATGCACATTGCCACTTACGCGTTACCTTTCCTCCATCTTACAGCTGTCTAGTTTGCACTGAGTTATTTTGCACACGATACCTCTGTGCTTGGTTTCTTCTATGTGTGACTTCCCCCCCAGCAGGTGTGTCTGGTGGCATGGCTGGTGGAGATGCACATTGACTCTCGGCACCTCTCCTCCATCTTCGCTGCTGTAGACGAGGAAGTGAAAAGTGTAGCAGCATAACTGACTGCAGACTGGCTCATCATGATTCTCGGTTGATTGAGTGATCGCACCCACCCTGCCAAAGAGGCTCGGGGTTGTCGTGCTGATTGAAGAGCGACGCCAGTTGCAGGCTCAACTTTGTAATAAGTTATCTGCATGCCCATAGAAAGTGTGACTTTCTACTCGTTATCTGCATGCCCATAGAAAGTGGTTCACATGTTTAAGCAGGTGGAATGAGAATGTAGATCACCCTAAACCCTTAACCCTCATTTCCTGAAGGTTTCTGTAGTGATCTCGTTTTTGTAATGAGAATGTAGATCACGCTCACGCGGATTATCCTGAAACCTCATCGCACATGTTACCCTACATCGCCTTCGGCGAAGAAGGCCTTGGTAGCTTCATCGATTTCGCCGACTGACTGACGGTTGTCGCTGATTCTCACTTACAGCGAAGCAACCACTTCCCCCAACCTGCTGGCTGCACGCGCTCACTTCCACCCCCAGACACGCCTCACCTCACCACACCACACCTGCTAGTAGCCATTCCCGTAGTGGTAACTATTTTCCCCCCAATCTCGAGTCCTCCTGAGTCTCCCGAGTCCCGACCCGACCGCCTTGTCGGACCCCAAAATCTCAGTCCCTCGCGTACCAATCACGTTTCAAGCGTATCTACGCCAGTTATTGGTCATGGCGGCTCAAGCGAGTCGCGAACCACCTTCACGTCGGAGTCCGACTCCAAGTCCAAAGTATGTCAAGGTTTATAAATTAGACGCTTCGTCTCCTGGTGACCACAATTATCACAGCTTCTACCTTTCACTTCGCTTCTACTACCTTCGATCCAGCACACCAAGCACCTTGCGGCTTACATATTGAATTCTCCTGTGGTTCTTACTCGCTTTGACGTGCAAGATGAGCCCGGCATCGCTGATTTTTACTCTCTCACAAATCTTACTACAACTGACATCTGACCACCTACTATTAGGTTTCTCAATGGCCAACGCTTGGCTGCTTCCTCTCACTCTTTACATCCTGCTCCTCCTCGCCGTCACCAGTGCCAACGTCGCGCGGCCCCCCATCCTGCACGCGTCCCCCCCCACCACCGGCGCAATCCGCAGCATCGCCACCCACTGTGCGCTCGCCCGTGCGGATTTCGCGCTATCCCCGCACAGGGTGGAGCGGAAACTGTTCAACTAGGACAGGGTGACTGTTGATATCATTGCCGGAAGCTTGGGCAAGATCGACAGTCTAAATGACGACTCAGAATATCGCTTAGATATTCATGAACGCGGGGTACAACGTGACGGTCATTCATATCAGAGCGCCCACTCCGTGCAGGGCGACCCGGCGTCCGCGGCGGTGGAGGTGTGGCACTTCTGGGATAACTCCGAGTTCACTGTGTATTACAAGCAGGGCCCCTTCTCCGTGGAGAATCTTGGCAAAGGCGGGTACGAGAACTGGGTATTGGGAGGCGTCTCGCAGCGCTACGGCGCGGATGAGAAGGTCGTCGTGTTCTCCTGAAGAATGCTCATCTTTCACGATGGTTGTGTTCCTAGAGGCTTGGCGCAAGATCAGTCCTAGCTGGTGTGACCAGGTTTTGAGCTGATGCTGGTGTCCATTTGACTAGTTTCCATGGTTTTCATGTGCACAACCTTGAAGAGTGTCTATGCAGGCACAATCAATATCCGTGCTTATAAATTACACATCATACAGAGAAATGTCTGCATTCGGCGGCTATAGTTACAGGTACCGTAATAGTCGCAGAAGAGGCCAATGCGGAGCATTCAAGAGCTACACACATAGCCAAGCCAAGCCACTATTGAGCTTGGTGAGGTGACATATTAAGCACACACCGCTACCAGTACCGTGCTTTGGCATGCACTCAGCCGAGCAGTAATGATCAGAGGTTGTAGACGCAGAGGGAGAGGCCGACGTAGAGCGAGGAGGAGGTGCAGACAAAGCCGTTGTTGAGCTTGCTGACGTACGATGTCTTCCCGCGGAAGTACTTGTAGATTATGGCCGCACACGTGTCTCCCGACTTGACCGTGTAGCGCTTGCTGCATGAGGAGGCGCCGAACTTGGCTTGTGCCACGCAGAGCTGTGCGAGGGGGAGGGAGAGGGAGAGGGGGGCATGGGGGGCGGGGTAGTGAGTGGAAGCATGAGGAGGTCAAGAGAGGGAAACCACTGCAGGAGGGATTGAAGGATAGAGACACATGGGGCTCCTCGTAGAAGCTGAAGTCTCTCCCTCTGCCCACACAGTTGCTCTCACCCTGCCCACCGTGCTCTCACCCTGCCCGCCGTGCTCTCATTCCGCCCAGCTTGCTCTCATTCCGCCCAGCTTGCTCTCATTCCGCCCAGCTTGCTCTCATTCCGCCCAGCTTGCTCTCATTCCGCCCAGCTTGCTCTCACTCTGTCCGCGCGCTTCCACTGTTCCACATCCGAATATCAACTCCTCACGGAGGAGTCGGAGTCGGAGGAGGAGTCGGAGTCGGAGGAAGAGTCGGAGTCGGAGGAGGAGTCGGAGTCGTGAATGAGGTTGTTGCAGTTGAGCCCGGGGTTCAGCCGGTACAGCTCCATGGCGGTCAACAGCTTTTACTCTGCCCTTCGCTTGCTTCTTAGCCCTTTGGTGAAGCAACTACCCTGTCCCCATGCTCGCTTTCTATCTCCCAAACCCCCTCCCTCTGCACTCACGGAGGAGTCGGAGTCGTCAATGAGGTTGTTGCAGTTGAGTCCCGGGTTCAGCCGGTACAGCTCCGTGGCGGTGAGCCCGTACGCGCTCTGCACGCTCGCACAGGTGTCGGTGGCGCTGAGCGTGTAATACTCTGTACACACCGTTGATACGGAGGCCGGGGGGAGGGCCTGGCCCATCTCCACGCACAGCTGGTGAAGGGGGGAAATAGAGGCGTGGAGAGAGAGAGAATCACAGACGTGTGTTGCTCGCACTGAGCGTGCAAGAGAGGAGCGAGTGGGAGAGAGGAGCGAGTGGGAGAGAGGAGAGAGTGTGAGAGAGGAGAGAGTGTGAGAGAGGAGAGAGTGTGAGAGGTGAGAGAGTGTGAGAGGTGAGAGAGTGTGAGAGGTGAGAGAGTAAGAGAGGAGAGAGTGTAAGAGAGGAGGTGTGGATTGGCGATGAGGCTCAACGAGTAGGGGCAGGTGGGTGATGGTCAAGTCGGGGGGGATTATGTGAGAGGGGGTTATGTGGTGAGGATTATGTTGGGTTGGGTTATGTTGGACTGGGAGGCTTACTTGGGTGGCGGTGATGTTGTCGCAGTCGAGGGTGGGGTTGATGGAGGTGAGACTGGTGAGGTTGAACTTGGTAGCAATTGATTCACACGTGTCGTTCTGATGGTGGGGGGAAGGAGGGGGAAATGGGAAAGCGCGTTTTTGGCGAGTTCAGAGGACACTCGGCACAGTTGAGGGTGGGATTGAACGAGGTTGAATCTGGTGGCGATTGATGCACACGTGTTGTTCTGATGGAAGGGAAGGAGGGGGTGAGAGAAGGGGGAAGAGCGAAAAGACGGGGAAGAGAGCGTGCACTTGGAGTTAGCATAATTTTCAGTCGTACAGGTTGCGTGATGCAGTAGTTGTGGCGAGGAGAGGAGAGGAAAGGAGGGGAGAGGAGAGGAGAGGAGAGGAGAGGAGATGAGGGAAGGGAAGGGAAGGGAAGGAGCGTACTAGCTGTGTGGTGTAGTAGTTGATACACATCTTGATGCTGACGTCACATTGACCGTCACATCTTGACAGCCAAAGATGCTTGATTCATTATCGAGACTCTGTACGTTTGGAAGTGACGGAAAGAGACGTACCGGCTGCGTGGTGTAATAGTTGATACACATCTTAACAGCCGATGCTGATGTCACATTGACTGTCATTCCTGCTGTCAGGTTGCTGCTGCAGTCGATGGCCTGGTGGGGCGAGGGGTAAGGGGTAAGGGATGAGGGATGAAGGGGAATGGATGAGTGGAAGGGATGTGGGAATCAAGTGTGTGCATGCAGAGTACACTACAAGGAATGCCTACCATGTAATTTGTTGGCATGTGCCTTGTTGGTGTGCGCATCTTGGCACAGGCAAGTGGGAATGAATACCCATGAAACGAACCGAATCCATGGTTTGAAAGTCTATGTTGGTGATGCTGTCAGCACGTGGATGTGCATGTGAAAGTGAATGTTGGCATGTGCATGTGAATGTTGGCATGTGCATGTGCATGTTGGCATGTGCATGGGACACACCGGATTCATGGATTGGAAGTCAGTGGTGGTGATGTTGTTGGCTGCACATATGGTGTCGCATGTGTCTCCCTCCTGGATGGTGTATGTGGTTGATGCGATGGGCGCTGCCATTGGGAGGGAAGAGGGGGGAACAGGAGACAAGGGAGGAGGGGAGGAGTAGTGAGGTGAAGTGAGGTGAAGAGAAGTGAAGAAAGTGAAGGGAGGAGAGGAGAGGTGAAGGGAGGTGAAGAGAAGAGAGGAGAGGATGGTGTCGCCCTCCTGGATGGTGTATGTGGTTGATGCGCTGGGCGCTGCCATTCGTGGGAGGGCGGGTGAGGTGAGAGGGCGGATTGGGACCCAATGCTAAGCGGATTGGGACCCAATGCTAAGCGGATAGGGACCCAATGCTAAGCGGATAGGGACCCAATGCTAAGCAGATTGGGACCCAATGCTAAGCGGATTGGGATCCAATGCTAAGCGGATTGGGACCCCATGCTAAGCGGATTGGGACCCAATGCTAAGCGGATTGGGACCCAATGCTAAGCGGATTGGGACCCAATGCTAAGCGGATAGGGACCCAATGCTAAGCGGATTGGGACCCAATGCTAAGCAGATTGGGACCCAATGCTAAGCGGATTGGGACCCAATGCTAAGCGGATTGGGACCCAATGCTAAGCGGATTGGGACCCAATGCTAAGCGGGTTGGGACCCAATGCTAAGCGGATAGGGACCCAATGCTAAGCGGATTGGGACCCAATGCTAAGCAGATTGGGACCCAATGCTAAGCGGATTGGGACCCAATGCTAAGCGGATTGGGACCCAATGCTAAGCGGATTGGGACCCAATGCTAAGCGGGTTGGGACCCAATGCTAAGCGGATAGGGACCCAATGCTAAGCGGATTGGGACCCAATGCTAAGCAGATTGGGACCCAATGCTAAGCGGATTGGGACCCAATGCTAAGCGGATTGGGACCCAATGCTAAGCGGATTGGGACCCAATGCTAAGCGGATTGGGACCCAATGCTAAGCGGATTGGGACCCAATGCTAAGCGGATTGGGACCCAATGCTAAGCGGATTGGGACCCAATGCTAAGCGGATAGGGACCCAATGCTAAGCGGATTGGGACCCAATGCTAAGCGGATTGGGACCCAATGCTAAGCGGATAGGGACCCAATGCTAAGCGGATTGGGACCCAATGCTAAGCGGATTGGGACCCAATGCTAAGCGGATTGGGACGTGCGGAGAATGCACAAGTCCGTGCTGCCGGGGCGAGTGGTGGAGGTGCAATTGGCTGGGCACGAGCAGTTGTGATGTGTGCTGCTAAGACAGGACACATGCACCTGCTGTTCTGTGCTGTTCCAAGACGTTTGAAATATTGACGTATGGGGAATGCAGGTAGCAGATCCATCGGGGCGAGAGGTGGACGTGTAGTTGGCCAGGCATGTGCAGCTGTAATCCTCCACACCATCGTCCATGCATGTGCCGTTGCGTTGTGCCATGTTATAAGACAACTAAAAAACTAGACGGTCGGGGAATGCAGGTAGCCGAGCCGTCAGGGCGAGCAGTGGAGGTGCAGTGGAGGTGCAGTTACAGCCCCCCACACTATCGTCCATGCATGTGCTGTTGTGTCGTGCCCCGATGCTAGACTACTAAGAGCTACACGTGCGGAGATCGACCTTTGAGGGGCCTCACAAGTGTTACGAGATGACTACAAACTAGACGTACGGGGAATGCAGGTGGCAGAGCCGTCAGGGCGAGCGGTGGAGGTGTAGTTGGCAGGGCACTTGCAGTTGTAGCCACCCACGCCATCGTCCACACACGTGCCGGCGCCACAGGGGTTCTGCAGCTGCAGCATGCACACCGTCTCTGGTGGGGGGAGAGGGGGGGGAGGGTGGGAGGAGAGGTGTGCAGGAGAGGTGTGGGAGACGAGGGTCAGAGGTCCTGTCCGAAGGTCTTGAACCCCGTCGTTCACAGTTGTGCCGGTGCCACAGGGGTTGTTCTGCAGCTGGGCGTGCACACCGTCTCTGGTGAGAGGTTGGTGGGGGGAAGAGAGGGGGGGGGAAGCAAAGTGCGGAAGATGCGGGGTGAGAGGTCCGGCTTTTGAGGCGCCTCAGAAGATGCAGGGTGAGAGGTCCGGCTTTTGAGGCGCCTCAGAAGATGCAGGGTGAGAGGTCCGGCTTTTGAGGCGCCTCAGAAGATGCAGGGTGAGAGGTCCGGCTTTTGAGGCGCCTCAGAAGATGCAGGGTGAGAGGTCCGGCTTTTGAGGCGCCTCAGAAGATGCAGGGTGAGAGGTCCGGCTTTTGAGGCGCCTCAGAAGATGCAGGGTGAGAGGTCCGGCTTTTGAGGCGCCTCAGAAGATGCAGGGTGAGAGGTCCGGCTTTTGAGGCGCCTCAGAAGATGCAGGGTGAGAGGTCCGGCTTTTGAGGCGCCTCAGAAGATGCAGGGTGAGAGGTCCGGCTTTTGAGGCGCCTCAGAAGATGCAGGGTGAGAGGTCCGGCTTTTGAGGCGCCTCAGAAGATGCAGGGTGAGAGGTCCGGCTTTTGAGGCGCCTCAGAAGATGCAGGGTGAGAGGTCCGGCTTTTGAGGCGCCTCAGAAGATGCAGGGTGAGAGGTCCGGCTTTTGAGGCGCCTCAGAAGATGCAGGGTGAGAGGTCCGGCTTTTGAGGCGCCTCAGAAGATGCAGGGTGAGAGGTCCGGCTTTTGAGGCGCCTCAGAAGATGCAGGGTGAGAGGTCCGGCTTTTGAGGCGCCTCAGAAGATGCAGGGTGAGAGGTCCGGCTTTTGAGGCGCCTCAGAAGATGCAGGGTGAGAGGTCCGGCTTTTGAGGCGCCTCAGAAGATGCAGGGTGAGAGGTCCGGCTTTTGAGGCGCCTCAGAAGATGCAGGGTGAGAGGTCCGGCTTTTGAGGCGCCTCAGAAGATGCAGGGTGAGAGGTCCGGCTTTTGAGGCGCCTCAGAAGATGCAGGGTGAGAGGTCCGGCTTTTGAGGCGCCTCAGAAGATGCAGGGTGAGAGGTCCGGCTTTTGAGGCGCCTCAGAAGATGCAGGGTGAGAGGTCCGGCTTTTGAGGCGCCTCAGAAGATGCAGGGTGAGAGGTCCGGCTTTTGAGGCGCCTCAGAAGATGCAGGGTGAGAGGTCCGGCTTTTGAGGCGCCTCAGAAGATGCAGGGTGAGAGGTCCGGCTTTTGAGGCGCCTCAGAAGATGCAGGGTGAGAGGTCCGGCTTTTGAGGCGCCTCAGAAGATGCAGGGTGAGAGGTCCGGCTTTTGAGGCGCCTCAGAAGATGCAGGGTGAGAGGTCCGGCTTTTGAGGCGCCTCAGAAGATGCAGGGTGAGAGGTCCGGCTTTTGAGGCGCCTCAGAAGATGCAGGGTGAGAGGTCCGGCTTTTGAGGCGCCTCAGAAGATGCAGGGTGAGAGGTCCGGCTTTTGAGGCGCCTCAGAAGATGCAGGGTGAGAGGTCCGGCTTTTGAGGCGCCTCAGAAGATGCAGGGTGAGAGGTCCGGCTTTTGAGGCGCCTCAGAAGATGCAGGGTGAGAGGTCCGGCTTTTGAGGCGCCTCAGAAGATGCAGGGTGAGAGGTCCGGCTTTTGAGGCGCCTCAGAAGATGCAGGGTGAGAGGTCCGGCTTTTGAGGCGCCTCAGAAGATGCAGGGTGAGAGGTCCGGCTTTTGAGGCGCCTCAGAAGATGCAGGGTGAGAGGTCCGGCTTTTGAGGCGCCTCAGAAGATGCAGGGTGAGAGGTCCGGCTTTTGAGGCGCCTCAGAAGATGCAGGGTGAGAGGTCCGGCTTTTGAGGCGCCTCAGAAGATGCAGGGTGAGAGGTCCGGCTTTTGAGGCGCCTCAGAAGATGCAGGGTGAGAGGTCCGGCTTTTGAGGCGCCTCAGAAGATGCAGGGTGAGAGGTCCGGCTTTTGAGGCGCCTCAGAAGATGCAGGGTGAGAGGTCCGGCTTTTGAGGCGCCTCAGAAGATGCAGGGTGAGAGGTCCGGCTTTTGAGGCGCCTCAGAAGATGCAGGGTGAGAGGTCCGGCTTTTGAGGCGCCTCAGAAGATGCAGGGTGAGAGGTCCGGCTTTTGAGGCGCCTCAGAAGATGCAGGGTGAGAGGTCCGGCTTTTGAGGCGCCTCAGAAGATGCAGGGTGAGAGGTCCGGCTTTTGAGGCGCCTCAGAAGATGCAGGGTGAGAGGTCCGGCTTTTGAGGCGCCTCAGAAGATGCAGGGTGAGAGGTCCGGCTTTTGAGGCGCCTCAGAAGATGCAGGGTGAGAGGTCCGGCTTTTGAGGCGCCTCAGAAGATGCAGGGTGAGAGGTCCGGCTTTTGAGGCGCCTCAGAAGATGCAGGGTGAGAGGTCCGGCTTTTGAGGCGCCTCAGAAGATGCAGGGTGAGAGGTCCGGCTTTTGAGGCGCCTCAGAAGATGCAGGGTGAGAGGTCCGGCTTTTGAGGCGCCTCAGAAGATGCAGGGTGAGAGGTCCGGCTTTTGAGGCGCCTCAGAAGATGCAGGGTGAGAGGTCCGGCTTTTGAGGCGCCTCAGAAGATGCAGGGTGAGAGGTCCGGCTTTTGAGGCGCCTCAGAAGATGCAGGGTGAGAGGTCCGGCTTTTGAGGCGCCTCAGAAGATGCAGGGTGAGAGGTCCGGCTTTTGAGGCGCCTCAGAAGATGCAGGGTGAGAGGTCCGGCTTTTGAGGCGCCTCAGAAGATGCAGGGTGAGAGGTCCGGCTTTTGAGGCGCCTCAGAAGATGCAGGGTGAGAGGTCCGGCTTTTGAGGCGCCTCAGAAGATGCAGGGTGAGAGGTCCGGCTTTTGAGGCGCCTCAGAAGATGCAGGGTGAGAGGTCCGGCTTTTGAGGCGCCTCAGAAGATGCAGGGTGAGAGGTCCGGCTTTTGAGGCGCCTCAGAAGATGCAGGGTGAGAGGTCCGGCTTTTGAGGCGCCTCAGAAGATGCAGGGTGAGAGGTCCGGCTTTTGAGGCGCCTCAGAAGATGCAGGGTGAGAGGTCCGGCTTTTGAGGCGCCTCAGAAGATGCAGGGTGAGAGGTCCGGCTTTTGAGGCGCCTCAGAAGATGCAGGGTGAGAGGTCCGGCTTTTGAGGCGCCTCAGAAGATGCAGGGTGAGAGGTCCGGCTTTTGAGGCGCCTCAGAAGATGCAGGGTGAGAGGTCCGGCTTTTGAGGCGCCTCAGAAGATGCAGGGTGAGAGGTCCGGCTTTTGAGGCGCCTCAGAAGATGCAGGGTGAGAGGTCCGGCTTTTGAGGCGCCTCAGAAGATGCAGGGTGAGAGGTCCGGCTTTTGAGGCGCCTCAGAAGATGCAGGGTGAGAGGTCCGGCTTTTGAGGCGCCTCAGAAGATGCAGGGTGAGAGGTCCGGCTTTTGAGGCGCCTCAGAAGATGCAGGGTGAGAGGTCCGGCTTTTGAGGCGCCTCAGAAGATGCAGGGTGAGAGGTCCGGCTTTTGAGGCGCCTCAGAAGATGCAGGGTGAGAGGTCCGGCTTTTGAGGCGCCTCAGAAGATGCAGGGTGAGAGGTCCGGCTTTTGAGGCGCCTCAGAAGATGCAGGGTGAGAGGTCCGGCTTTTGAGGCGCCTCAGAAGATGCAGGGTGAGAGGTCCGGCTTTTGAGGCGCCTCAGAAGATGCAGGGTGAGAGGTCCGGCTTTTGAGGCGCCTCAGAAGATGCAGGGTGAGAGGTCCGGCTTTTGAGGCGCCTCAGAAGATGCAGGGTGAGAGGTCCGGCTTTTGAGGCGCCTCAGAAGATGCAGGGTGAGAGGTCCGGCTTTTGAGGCGCCTCAGAAGATGCAGGGTGAGAGGTCCGGCTTTTGAGGCGCCTCAGAAGATGCAGGGTGAGAGGTCCGGCTTTTGAGGCGCCTCAGAAGATGCAGGGTGAGAGGTCCGGCTTTTGAGGCGCCTCAGAAGATGCAGGGTGAGAGGTCCGGCTTTTGAGGCGCCTCAGAAGATGCAGGGTGAGAGGTCCGGCTTTTGAGGCGCCTCAGAAGATGCAGGGTGAGAGGTCCGGCTTTTGAGGCGCCTCAGAAGATGCAGGGTGAGAGGTCCGGCTTTTGAGGCGCCTCAGAAGATGCAGGGTGAGAGGTCCGGCTTTTGAGGCGCCTCAGAAGATGCAGGGTGAGAGGTCCGGCTTTTGAGGCGCCTCAGAAGATGCAGGGTGAGAGGTCCGGCTTTTGAGGCGCCTCAGAAGATGCAGGGTGAGAGGTCCGGCTTTTGAGGCGCCTCAGAAGATGCAGGGTGAGAGGTCCGGCTTTTGAGGCGCCTCAGAAGATGCAGGGTGAGAGGTCCGGCTTTTGAGGCGCCTCAGAAGATGCAGGGTGAGAGGTCCGGCTTTTGAGGCGCCTCAGAAGATGCAGGGTGAGAGGTCCGGCTTTTGAGGCGCCTCAGAAGATGCAGGGTGAGAGGTCCGGCTTTTGAGGCGCCTCAGAAGATGCAGGGTGAGAGGTCCGGCTTTTGAGGCGCCTCAGAAGATGCAGGGTGAGAGGTCCGGCTTTTGAGGCGCCTCAGAAGATGCAGGGTGAGAGGTCCGGCTTTTGAGGCGCCTCAGAAGATGCAGGGTGAGAGGTCCGGCTTTTGAGGCGCCTCAGAAGATGCAGGGTGAGAGGTCCGGCTTTTGAGGCGCCTCAGAAGATGCAGGGTGAGAGGTCCGGCTTTTGAGGCGCCTCAGAAGATGCAGGGTGAGAGGTCCGGCTTTTGAGGCGCCTCAGAAGATGCAGGGTGAGAGGTCCGGCTTTTGAGGCGCCTCAGAAGATGCAGGGTGAGAGGTCCGGCTTTTGAGGCGCCTCAGAAGATGCAGGGTGAGAGGTCCGGCTTTTGAGGCGCCTCAGAAGATGCAGGGTGAGAGGTCCGGCTTTTGAGGCGCCTCAGAAGATGCAGGGTGAGAGGTCCGGCTTTTGAGGCGCCTCAGAAGATGCAGGGTGAGAGGTCCGGCTTTTGAGGCGCCTCAGAAGATGCAGGGTGAGAGGTCCGGCTTTTGAGGCGCCTCAGAAGATGCAGGGTGAGAGGTCCGGCTTTTGAGGCGCCTCAGAAGATGCAGGGTGAGAGGTCCGGCTTTTGAGGCGCCTCAGAAGATGCAGGGTGAGAGGTCCGGCTTTTGAGGCGCCTCAGAAGATGCAGGGTGAGAGGTCCGGCTTTTGAGGCGCCTCAGAAGATGCAGGGTGAGAGGTCCGGCTTTTGAGGCGCCTCAGAAGATGCAGGGTGAGAGGTCCGGCTTTTGAGGCGCCTCAGAAGATGCAGGGTGAGAGGTCCGGCTTTTGAGGCGCCTCAGAAGATGCAGGGTGAGAGGTCCGGCTTTTGAGGCGCCTCAGAAGATGCAGGGTGAGAGGTCCGGCTTTTGAGGCGCCTCAGAAGATGCAGGGTGAGAGGTCCGGCTTTTGAGGCGCCTCAGAAGATGCAGGGTGAGAGGTCCGGCTTTTGAGGCGCCTCAGAAGATGCAGGGTGAGAGGTCCGGCTTTTGAGGCGCCTCAGAAGATGCAGGGTGAGAGGTCCGGCTTTTGAGGCGCCTCAGAAGATGCAGGGTGAGAGGTCCGGCTTTTGAGGCGCCTCAGAAGATGCAGGGTGAGAGGTCCGGCTTTTGAGGCGCCTCAGAAGATGCAGGGTGAGAGGTCCGGCTTTTGAGGCGCCTCAGAAGATGCAGGGTGAGAGGTCCGGCTTTTGAGGCGCCTCAGAAGATGCAGGGTGAGAGGTCCGGCTTTTGAGGCGCCTCAGAAGATGCAGGGTGAGAGGTCCGGCTTTTGAGGCGCCTCAGAAGATGCAGGGTGAGAGGTCCGGCTTTTGAGGCGCCTCAGAAGATGCAGGGTGAGAGGTCCGGCTTTTGAGGCGCCTCAGAAGATGCAGGGTGAGAGGTCCGGCTTTTGAGGCGCCTCAGAAGATGCAGGGTGAGAGGTCCGGCTTTTGAGGCGCCTCAGAAGATGCAGGGTGAGAGGTCCGGCTTTTGAGGCGCCTCAGAAGATGCAGGGTGAGAGGTCCGGCTTTTGAGGCGCCTCAGAAGATGCAGGGTGAGAGGTCCGGCTTTTGAGGCGCCTCAGAAGATGCAGGGTGAGAGGTCCGGCTTTTGAGGCGCCTCAGAAGATGCAGGGTGAGAGGTCCGGCTTTTGAGGCGCCTCAGAAGATGCAGGGTGAGAGGTCCGGCTTTTGAGGCGCCTCAGAAGATGCAGGGTGAGAGGTCCGGCTTTTGAGGCGCCTCAGAAGATGCAGGGTGAGAGGTCCGGCTTTTGAGGCGCCTCAGAAGATGCAGGGTGAGAGGTCCGGCTTTTGAGGCGCCTCAGAAGATGCAGGGTGAGAGGTCCGGCTTTTGAGGCGCCTCAGAAGATGCAGGGTGAGAGGTCCGGCTTTTGAGGCGCCTCAGAAGATGCAGGGTGAGAGGTCCGGCTTTTGAGGCGCCTCAGAAGATGCAGGGTGAGAGGTCCGGCTTTTGAGGCGCCTCAGAAGATGCAGGGTGAGAGGTCCGGCTTTTGAGGCGCCTCAGAAGATGCAGGGTGAGAGGTCCGGCTTTTGAGGCGCCTCAGAAGATGCAGGGTGAGAGGTCCGGGGTTACAGGCCTTCACCCACATCGTCTCGTCCACACACGTGCCGGCACCACATGGGCTCAAGGGATTTGTGAGATGTCACAAGAAGCACTTACTGATGATGCACGTGTGGATGCCCTCCACCCCCTCAATCATCATCAGCACATGACACTTACTGACGATGCAACGTGGGTGTCAACGTGCACGATGCACGTGTTGGTGCCGTCCATGTTGACAGCCGGGATGAGCAAGTCCATGTTGGTGCAGTCGCAGCTGTGGTACTGCTTCGGCTTCTCCCTTCATGCGCACCCCTCAATCATCATCAGCACACGGCACTTACTGACGATGCAGGTGTCGGTGCCGTCAACATTAACGGCCGGAATGAGAAAGTCCTCGTTGGTGCAGTCGCAGCTGTAGTACTGCTTCGGCTTCTCCCCTGGCTTGGGCGGCAGCGGCGGGTCCGAGCACTTGCCTGCGCCGCAGGGGGCGCCGAGGCACCACTTGCCGGGGACAGCTGTGGAAAGGTAGGGGGAAGAGAGGTGGGAGTGGGGAGCAGGGCGGAAGGGCAGGGGCATTTGAGACTAAAGAAACAGGCAGCGGCGGGTCGGAGCACTTGCCTGCGCCGCAGGGGGCGCTGAGGCACCACTTGCCGGGGACGGCTGGGGGCACGAGAGGGACGGAGGCAGTGGAGGGGGGAGAGGAAGCGGGAGACCAAGGGGGGGGGGGGGAAGACGTTTTTTGAAAGGCACATCGAACGAGAGATAGAAAATAGGGGGTAGTAACCCAGGGGCTCACCAGGCAGCATGGGGTAGTAACCCGGTTCGCTCCACATGCCGCAGTAGCCAAAGGGCGAGCGGTCGAAGCCGATCCTCATGTGGCCGTTGTCACCCCACGTGGTGCCCCAGCTGTTGCGCAGAATGAAGTAGCTGCCCGGCTGCCCCGGCCCCTCCAGATGATACCCCACCAGCACCACCACGTGGTTCACCATGCGGTTGGCAAAGCACGTCTTATCCTCCAGTATGCTCGTCTGGAGGAAGGGGGGCAGAAGGGGGGAAAGGGATTGTCGAGGAGTCTCAAAAGAGCTGCTTCTGCCCCTCCAGGTGATACCCCACCAGCACCACCACGTGATTCACCATGCGGTTGGCAAAGCACATCTTATCCGTCAGTATGTTCGGCTGGGCGGGAGGGGGGAGGAGGGAAGAGGGGAGGGGAGAGAGTAGGCGGGGAGGAGAGGGAAGTGGACGGGAAAGTAGGGGAAAGTAGATAAGTGGGGCTGGGGAGGTCTTGCAAGCTTGAAATTGGTCTTACGATACGTCCATGCACACGAGCCCAAACACCCCACTCCACCGCATTCCACCACACACCAGCCCACATCACTCCGCTTCACCGCATCCCACCGCATCCAACTCACCCCATTGCAGTTGAGGAAGCAGTCCTGGTCTGCCTCAACATGCAGAACAACAGGCTGCAGTGGCAGTAAGTGCACACGCACGCAACAATCCACCCCACCCACCACTTCCCACCGCATCCAACTCACCCCGTTGTAACTAAGGAAGCAGTCTTGGTCTGCCTCCACGTGCACGACAACAGGCTGGAACTGCAGCGCCAGCATGAGCCCTATTGGCCCCAGCAGACTTGCCCGCTCGTAGAACCGCACCATCGCCACTCCTGGATTCGCCTGGATCTGCGCGGTGGGGAGTGGTGGGAAGTGGTGGGGAGGGGTGGAAAGCGGTTGGGAGGGGTGGGGAGGGGCTGATAGGGAGTGCGAGCAAGCTGCCCGCCCAGCAGAGTCGTGCGCACGCGGAAGCGCACCACTGACTCGCTATGTTGACGTTACTTTTAAATTCTCAAAACCAAAGTAGCATAAACATAGTCGTGCGCACGCGGAAGCGCACCACTGACTCGCTATGTTGATGTTACTTTTGAATTCTCAAAGCAAAAGTAACATAAACATAGTTGTGCGCACCCGGAAGCGCACCGCTGCCTCGCCTGGGCTCGCCCGGATCTGCAAGGAGAGAAGGGATGAGGTGGAATGAAGATCGATGAGATGGAGTGAGAGGATGAGATGGAGTGAGGGGATGAGATAAAGTGAGGGGATGAGATGGAGTGAAGGGATGAGATGGACTGAGACGATGAGATGGAGTGAGAGCAGTGGGCCTCAACAGGCTTGCGCGCTTGTAGATCCCACCGCGGTCGCGCCGGGTTAGCCTGGACGTGAGGGATGGGGTGGGGAAAGTTGGGAAGGGGAGAAAGGAGGACAAATAAAATGTCAAATCATATGAAGAGAGTAAAATGAAAGGTAAAATGAGCGATGAAATGGGTGGCACGTGGTGCAATGCAATGAAGGATGAAATGGAAGAGAGATAGAAATGATTGTTGCTTGCTTACAATGCTCTTGTTACATGTGGTACTGACGTTCGCCATGTACGCGTAGCACGAAGGCACAGACACGAGCGGGTTCGCTAGGAAATGTGAAACGAAAGGCTGTGCGTGTCGCATGCTTGTGCGCGCGTGTTCGCTTACAATGCTCTTGTTACAAACGGTGCTGTCATTCGCCATGTAAGGGTACACCGCTTTGGACACGAGCGGGTTCGCGATGGCGTATTCAAACGCGTCCGTCGTGAACCCGCCGTTGCAGTCGTCTGTGCCGCACGTCAGCATCTGCTGCACCGACACGCGCTGCGGCGGCTGGATGCGGTAACCCAGCAACGCGCCGTCTATCGCCGACGCTGCTGCGAACGCCCAGCAGGAACCTGAGGGGGGGAGAGGAGGGATGAGGCGGGGTGGGGAGGGAAGGTTGAGACGGGGTATCGGTGTGAAAGCGAGGGATATGGGGCGACCAGCAGCCGCTCACTGATGCGGCGAATAGCAGCTCTCACAGCACGTTTTGAGACGTCTCAAAGCACGCACGCACGCACGCACACGCACGCACGCACGCACACAAGCACGCACAAAGAAACACACACCAACACAACCACCGCGCAAACATCAGAATAAGCACTCACTGCAGAGGCTGGGCGAGTCCTGATCCACAACGACCGACAGGTTGGCGCGCCAGTCGACATGATTGTGCTCGCGCAGCGCCCATTTGGCGGTGTTGTTGCTGCTCTCGATTTTCAGCGACACGGACGCGTAGTGAAACCACCGATTCTGCTTCGGCCGCGAGTTGTTGCGCGGGATGGGCAGCCCTCCCAGGGAGCGATCGCCGACGCGCGCTGAGGTGGGGGCGAGTGGGGAGAGTGGGGAGAAAAGGGTGGGGCACACATTTGTTTGATATGTGCACGGTAGAGTCAACGATCAAACACCAGGCGTTCAGCTACAGCCGCGAGTCATTGCGCGGGATGGGCAGCCCTCCCAGGGAGCGGTCGCCGACGTGTGCTGAGGTAGGGAGAAGTGGGGGTACACATTCAAATAATTGGTGCACGGTAGTGCGAAGGGTCGGACACTAGGCGTTCAGCTTCGACACGGACGGGTAGCAGCTGGAAGGGGGGCAATCGCCCAGGGAATGATCGTCCGCGCGAACTGAGGTGGGACGTAGAGGGAGGAAGTGGGGGGGGAAGGGGGGGGGGGGGCGGGGGGGTGGGAGAGAAAGGGGCACACATTGAGTTGGTAGGTGCACGGATGTGCCAAGCTTCGGAACCCGCTATGGAGCAGCGGACGCGTTTTGCGGCGTCTCAGACCTGGATCAGAACCAGCTGCGGAGCAGCGGACGCGATACAATGAGTGGGATGGGCGGGCCTTCCAGAGCTATCCCCCGCGCGAGCTCAAGTGGGGGAGAGTGGCACGAGGGAGGGCGACGAGACGGGTAAGGGAATGAATGAGCAAGGGGAAGGCGGGGGGAAGGAAGCGAGAGACGGTGCACTGTCGAGCCGCCGCTGTGGCGAGCCGCAGCCGTTTGGAGCCGCAGCTGTAGCGAGCCGCGACTGTAGCGAGCTAAAAACTGTAGCGAGTCGCAATCCCTGCATCCGCACGCGACGAATGAACAGCGTCTCATGCGCGGATCGCAACTCACTGGGGAAGTAGCTCGGCGGGGTTGTTGGATCGACGGTCGCCGCTCCCCCTCCCCCTCCTGCCCCCCCAGTAACATTCCCGCCACCATTAACGTCACCGCCATCTCCACCGCCGCTAGCATCACCGGACCCAGCTCCCCCGCTTCCGCCCTCGCCGCCCGCTCCGCCCTCTCCGCCCCCCGTCTGCGCCGGGGCGGCGGAGGCGGTGACGTCGAAGCCGAGGAGTGTGTGCGCGGAGTAGTACTTTGCGCCCGTGCTCGCGCTGAACCCCATGTACAACGGCGTGTCACTGTTTTGCGAAGCCGGAAAAAGCGTGCACGGGTCAAAGCTTGTAACGAAGGTGTTCTTGGCGGGGCGACTCTTGGCCGTGTTGAGGAAAACGGAGAGTTGCTTCGTGTCCGGGTTGTAGTCGATCCAGACGTATTTGACTTTCGCGTCTTTGAGCGCGGGGATGGCTGCCTTGCTGGCGGTCACTGATTTGACGGACGCGTTTAGGTTGAATCCGATATGCGGCGTGGCCTTGTCCCATGGGTCCCTGAAGAGAAATCGTGGAAGAATAAACAAAGAAGAGGAACATTTGAAATCGTTGAACTGGCACGCACCCACTTGAAGAACGCCACATCGAAATCGCTTTCCGCTAAGAGCCGCACTTACTTAAACGTGTCAAACTCCACCGCGAAGCTCGGCGAGTCGCCCGTCTCGCCCCATCCAAGGAACCCGCTGTCGCTGCCCGCCTCCCACGCCGCATCCGCCGTCACGAAGAACGTCAGCCCTTGCCCCGCCTTCGACGCGCCGTTCTTCGCGGACGCCACCGCGAACGCGAACGACGCGGAGAACTCCAGCGGCGCGCAGCCGTCGGCGGAGGAGGTGCGGTCAGTGAGGGCAATGGCGGAGGGGTTGAGCGCGCCGCCCGCCAGCAGGGCGGCGTCGGAGGTGAGGGTGACGGCGGGGCAACCCTTGTATGTCGCGGTGAGCGCATCGCCGGAGAGCACGAAGTCGGAAAGGGAGTCCGCAAATGAGCAGTCTGTGGCGCCGGGGGGAAGGGGGAGGGGGGGGCAAGGTGGGGAAGGGAGGGAGGGGGGAAGGGGGGTGTAGGTGGGGAGGTGGGGATTGGGGAAAGGGGGGTGATTGGGGGAAGTGAAGGGGGAGGAACTTGGACTCGGTACGACTTTAGTAGGGTCCGTCGGACGAGAAAAGGGGAGGACGGGGAGGGAAATTGGAAAATGCAGTTTGATTCGACTACTACTCTGGTAGCGTGGGGCGTTAAGGTTAGCTTGAGAGACGCATGGAAAGAGACACGCGCAGCGCCGCGAGGGGGAGCGAGGAATGGAGAGGTGGTGAGGAGATCGCCAGAGACTGCTGACGCCGACGACGGAGCGGCTGACGCCGACGGTGGAGAACATCGCAATTCCTGCCGTAACTAATAGCAGTCAGCGTCAAACTTAAATAGACGGCCGGCAAGCCCACGGTGCACAGATTATAGGAGGCCTAAGACTTATGGTGACACGAGCCCTTCGCCGCAATGCGCAGTTCCCAACACACGCGCGGCGCGTTGTTTGTCCGACCCTGCGCGTTTGCGATTCGCATCCTGCTCTGCCCGTGCCTCTCCCTTGCAATCAAGTGGTGCCGAAAAGTATAGCACTAACCAGGTGGAGGGGGAGGCGGCGGGGGGGGGGGGGCGGCGCGGACGGGGGCGGCGAACGAGGAGTTTTCTTCGATTTTCTTCCTGCAGCTGCGCCGTGCAAAGCGGATATGCACAGGAGAACCAGAGGTAGAAGCAGAGCTAGCCGCAGATTCTGGCGACGCGAAGGTCGTTGCTGCTGCGACGCGTACCTCCGCCGCCATGGCGACGAAGCACGAAAGCCACTCGAGGCGCTGTGTAAGGCGCTACATTGATTTGGATGTAACATGCTGGCTGTTGTGTCGTCGCGATGCGCGACGGCTCGCGGTCCACACAAACCAAAGGAATCGACGATAAGAGAGTCGCGAATTGGAGGGCGCTCCTTTCTGACTCCGTGCAAGCAGGCAGTCTATTTCCGTTTTGAGCCCACTAGTTCTGACGAGGGACTCAAGGAACGCCAATTTGAGACGCGACCGACGATGAAGTGGGGCGAGGGAGGATGAAGTTGCAAGAGAGGCCCCCAAGCCAGCCAACCAACACTGAGAAGAGAGGTCCAGAGTCCAAACACCCACTTCGAGTGTGTTTGGGAAGAAAAACGAAGACTTCTGCCTGTTGAAGAAAAGGATCGAATTGAGGTCTATTTCACTACAGTAGCTTCAGGGGGAAGGAGCGAGCAGGCAAGGGGAAGGAGAGAGGGGGGAAGGATGACTGACAGACAACGTTGGTCTGTGCGACAGAATCCGTTTCTGCATTTCGCACGGGGGGAGGTTAGAGCTGGTGAGTCGGACAAATGGACCTCTTGTGCATGCTCTGTTCTGGTAAGATCCTAGTGCAGGTCCACGACAAATTGGGGTAGCAGTTCTGCCCGTGACAATATACACGTACATTGTACATTTTTATCCCAATAAGAGAATAAAATCTATGTAAATACCCTAAACTTCTCGTTCAATAAGTTTTTTCTTTGACAGACCCAGAGGAGCAACGCACAAGCTCCTCTTGTTGTTCCAGCGCAATTTCCGCCCCACCTGAGGCAGATTCGCTGCCCCGGGTTCTGCTTGTACTGTACGCCCCTCTCCGCCCATTTCGGCAAGATGTTTCGGCCGTATCCCACAAATCTCCAAACTGCATTACTGTAGTGTGATAAACACCCTCTCACTTCAAACCAAAATATCTTTTCTCTTCGTGCTTGAAGCCTTGGTCGTCACAATTTATGTTTCGTGTTCGTCTTTTGAAAATCGCATGTTTGACCGCCTTGCCGCACCTGAATGTTCAGGAAATAGCTCGAGCCGCAGGGGCTTGTTACCTTCAAACATTGTGGTGGTGGAGTGGTGTGGCATGAGTTAGGACGCGTCACATTTGACACACCGAAGGAGGATTGGGGTTACGCACCGAAGTTGTGGGCGTCGATCACCTGAGCCACATGTGTCGCGATCGTCTTCAAGCTCGAAATTTAGCAGGGTTAGATTTGTTATTGACAGTTTCAAACGCGTTACGTATGTTTTGAGTGCGGTGATAGAACGATCTGGAAGAGACATCGCGCTCGGTGACGTGTGTCGAGCTCTAGCGAACGCCAGCGACAAAGGGATACAAGACATTACGACTTACTGTACACCCCTCACATCGATCCCCTGCAGGATCGATGTTTCAAATGTGACGCGTCCTCAGGTTCAGGTCAGGACGGCCGTCAACCACGCTGCGCCACTTCCGTCATCAACTGAATCCTGTCGATCATGAATCGTCGCACATACATGACGGGGTCACGGGGGAGGCGAGGCCGAACCAAAAGTGTCAGATCTTGTTCGTGGTTTCGACACCAGCTGTTTATGCGTGTCAACCCGAAGCGCTAAAGATTTTGCGTGTCAATCACTGTAGCATCAGTGTCAGATCGAAGCGCGCGTAGGATCATCAACGACACATTCTGATTAGTTGGGACCTACTCGTGTATTCAATGATTGGTGCATGTCCAAGCCAGCGACATTCTCAACTAGCTGTGAGATCTCAAGTATGAGACGGTGCGACTTGATTGGGTGATAGGGGTGATGAGATTGCAGCTGCGACGATCCTGACTGGCTTGTAGGCGTTGACTCTGTCAGAGTCAAAATTTATCCGACTAGTTGTACTGGCTAGCAATCTACGAATTTTTGACACCCTGCCAACAATGTATGCTCGTGTCAAAATGGCAAAATGACACTGGTGTCAAGACTACGAACGAGCCCTCGGTCAACTTCCGCTTGTTACCAAGAGTGCTGCTGCCGCCGAATTGCACCTGACCTGAACCAGGTTCAGGCCTTGAATCGGAAATTCATTCCATTCGTACGAGGGTACAGTAATTGTTTGGCCGTGAACCTTGTTTGTACTGCATGGGTGCAGCCTTGACGATTTGGGGAGAAGAAAATGCTGCTGCTTTCCGTGTTTATTTTAAGCGTCAAGGTTTCTGTGGTAAACCACTCTTCTAAAAAGCTTGGTGATGTTGACGGAGAAAATTGTTGACTTGGCACGCAACGGTGGTCGTGGAAGTGTGGTTCCCTCGGTTCGTTCCGGTGTGTTGTATCGCTGATTTTTAGGTGCCATATATAGCTCTTTTAGTGTGCTCCTTCCCATTGGATTTACAAACTGTTGTTATCCTCCCCTAGATTCGTTTCGGTGTGTTCTATTGCTGATTTATTGGTGCTGTATTTAGCTCTTATAGTGTGCTCCTCCCCACAGGAGTACGAAAATGCAGTGTGCTGATTCAGACCTTCGTGAATTTACTTGCCCACCTTTACAAAGCCAACAGCACTTGTCCAATGATTCGTTTGACTAACATTCACGATGGATCATATGCATTGGGCGTTGTGCAACTCACAATGCACAGCACAGTTGGCCCCAATTGCAACAAAAATGCCATGAGAATGCTAACTTGCAACCCATGCTTGATCAGCTTGCTCCCTTGGTTGCAACCAGTCAGAAAACTAGCCTGACACATGCTATCCTCATTCCATAACAGTGGAGTGAAAACACCAAGGAACTATTCTTGTGGGAAGCCAGTAACGGGGTTGACCCGAGAACCTTCTAGTGAGCGCGACACAATGTGGGGCCCGGGACCTGGGCGTGTGAGCAGAATGTATTTGAGAGGTGGGGAGGAGTAGTCGCCTGATGCTGTGCTTGTTTCTGATGGTGCTGATGATTGTAGTGCTGATGGCATTGGTTGTGCATGGGAAAGGGCCTCCATGGACACGAGAGATGTGTCGCCGTTGAGGAAGCTGCACACAGGGAGAGAGGGTGTGATTGGGGTGGTGAGGGAGTGAGGGTTGGTGGGACGAGGAGGGGAGTGAGGTGGATGGGCGGGACGAGGGGTGTGAGATGGATGGGCCATGGTTCCTGGGATGAATTGAACCGACAGCATTCATGCATAAACGAGGACGGGGCAAGAGGAGATACACGATCAGGGGAAGAGGGGATAGTTGTACGGAAGCTGGAGGGGTGGTGCTGCCAGGTAGGGGATAGGAAGCTGGAGTGGGGAGTGGTGGTGCACGGTGCGAAGCAGTGCTTGCGTAAAAATTATAGAGGTGGGGATTGGGGGGGGGGGGGATACCTGGAGAGGGGGGTGCTGGCAGGTGGGGGAAAGCGTTGCAGGAAGGCAGAGAGGAACTGCGTGGCGTTGTGGCGCTCCACAAACATGACTGCGTTGGGACCCGCGTCAAACGTGTATGCCGCCTAGTGTGGGGAAGAGGGACGAGGGGGAGTAAGGGGCGCGAGGAGGAGTATTGGGAGGGGAGAGGGAGGGGATTGAGGTGCTCCACAAAACATGACCGGCGACAAACGTGTATGCTGCCTGGTGTGGGGGCGAGAGGGCAGGGTAGGGAAAGGGGGACGGGAGAAGGAAGGGAATAACATTTTGGTGTGATGCTCCACAAACATGGCTGCATCAGACCCGGCGTCAAACGTGTATGCAGCCTGGTGTGGGGAAGAGGGGCGATTGGGAGGGAGGAGGAAGGGAGCGGGAGGGGGGAGGTGGGGTTGGGGGTGGAGAGGAAGGAATGGTGAGATGCGTGGTGCTTCAAAGAAACGAATGACAGTGAACAGCTATGCTGCCTGTTGTGATGGGCGAAGGGGAGTGAGACATTCAGGATTGCGGGAGAAGCAGAGTGACAGTGTACATACAGACACACACGCAGCACGATACGGCCCCTCCTCAGAACACTCAACCTCAACCAACTCGCACGCATGAACCCCCCTCACACACCCGCGGTTGCTCCCCCTGCGCGTTGAACTCCTCCACAAAGCCAATCACGCGACGCGATGTGGCGTTGAGGTAAAAGATGGGCGGCGCCGTGTCGAGACACGTGGCGTGGAACTGGTTGCTGTCCGCACAGGTCAGCCGGGCGAAGGAGGGGAAGTCGCGCGCTGCAATGGCTGCCTCCATTTCTGTGATTCGCTCCGGTACCACGTGCTGGGGGAACGGGGACGCAGAGGGAGAGGGGAAGGGAAAGGGAGGCAAGACAGCGGGGGAAGCTAGGGAAGTCTGGGCTACAATGGCTGCCTCCATTGCTGTGATTCGTTCCGGTACGATGTGTTGTTGGGGGGGAATAGGGTGGCATGAAGGGGAAGGAAGACACGTGGCATGGAACTGGCTGCTGTGAGTGCAGGTCAGATGGGCGAAGGAGGAGAAATCGAGTGCTTCTATTGCTGTGATGCACATGCACTCTGGTACCACATGCACTCTGGTACCACATGCACTCTGGTACCACATGCACTCTGGTACCACATGCACTCTGGTACCACATGCACTCTGGTACCACATGCACTCTGGTACCACATGCACTCTGGTACCACCTATTCATCAACCCCACCTATGCTCTTCATTCGGTCCCCCCACCATCCGCCCCCACCATCCGCCCCCACCAGCCGCCCCGCACCCGTGTTGCCCAAGTGTCCCTCCTACCTCAGCTCGCAGCTGCAGCAGCTTGGAGGTCTGGGCGGACCGTTTCATGCCCTCGCTGCTGCCGATGTCCTTCTCCCTCTCCTCCACCTGTTCATGTGGGGATAGGGGGAGCGGTTAGGGGGGAGGGGGAATGGGGAAGGGAGAAGGGGAAGGGGGAAGGGGGAAGGGGGAAGGGGGAAGGGGGAAGGGGGAAGGGGGAAGGGGGAAGGGGGAAGGGGGAAGGGGGAAGGGGGAAGGGGGAAGGGGGAAGGGGGAAGGTGAGGACAACAGCTGAGCGCAGAGGCGCAGCTTTAAAGTGCGACGCAGCGGAAGGGGAAGCACAGGAGAGGGGCGCAGAGCAAATCAGCCATACCATCCCACCACCACCATCTGCACAGCTCATCAGCCATGATGATGACCAGGTCGCTCCAGTGGTCCTCTGCCTTGATGCGTTCTATCTTGACTGAAACCACTTTTAGTCGACTCACAACACACCCCTAAATGCCATCCCTGTTCCTCCCATCCCATGTGGGTGTCGCCCTCTCTCCCACCACTGCAATGATGATGACCAGATCGCTCCAGTGGTCCTCTGCCTTGACTTGTTTCGAGTTCACTCGACTATCAAATCACACCCCTAAGTGTCATCCCTGTTCCCCTCCAAGTGTGTGCCCTGTCTCTCACCACTGCAATGATAATGACCAGATCGCTCCAGTGGTCCTCTGCCTTGACTTGCCGCGCCATGCTGTCACTGCCGTCCGCCAGCTGGTGGCCAGAGAGGAGGGGAGGGGAGAGAAACACACACGGCACAAGGCACGAAGCACAAGGCATAAGGCATAAGGCACCCGCTTTGACCCAGAGACAGTTTTTTACGCGACTCGGAATCGTCTCGGGTTTGGAACAAGACGCACGTGGATGGTTGGTACTTCACAGATGGTGGTGCATCTCCATCCATGTGCAAGACTACTCGTCATCACCACGCCTCCATCCATCCCACAAGCTGTTTACCACCATCATCACCGTATGCGGCAATTTCTTAGTTGCGTTGGAGATTGTCGAGGCAATTCTCAACGCGGAAAAAGGCACGTCCATCTCACCCTTCAATGATCCTCTCACATCACCACCATCCTCCATCGTCTCACCTCGCCCTTGTCCCAGGTGACGAATCCGCCGTACAGACTCCTGCAAGCACTGCCCGATCCCATTCTGGTGCCATTGGGGTGAGGGCGGACGGGAAGCAGGAAGGGACGAAGGGGAAGCTGGAATGGGGGAGGGGGAAGGGAGGGGCCTTTTGAGGCGTCTCAAAAGGCGTACAGACTCCTGCACGCACTGCCCGATCCCATTCTGGTGCCATGCCATTGGGGTGAGGGAGGACGGGGAAGGCGAAGGGAGGAATGGGAGGGGGGCGCTTTTACGACATCACCCTTTCTGAAATGCAGCGCCTCACGTTTATGCCGTGCCGTTCTAAGGAGTCCTTTGACAGAAACTGGATGGAAATTAATCACCCTGAAACTGGCAACTCGTCTGCTGTATCTGGCAACTTTTCTTCCATAACTAAACCCTGAACTCTAACCCTGTCGTACCTGGCAATGGCGGAGAGCTCCCCTGGGTATGCCTCCTTCACTCCCATGAGCTCTGCCAGTGCGAACACTGTGAGGCACTCATGCACACATGCACACATGCACACATACACACATGCACACATGCATGCAGAGGCAGGGAGGATGGCACAAGGGCATGGGGCATGGGGTGTGAGGTACGGGATATTGGGGGGAGAGTTCCCCCGGTTATGCCTCGTTCACTCCCATCAGCTGCCAGGGCGAACACAGGGAGGCAGGCATGCACAGGGAGGCAGGCATGCACAGGGAGGCACGCATGCACAGGGAGGCAGGCATGCAGGATGGCACATGGGGCACAGCCACACATGGCATGAGGCATCGGGCAGGCACAAGGGATGTGAGGGGTAGGGCAAAAGAGGAGAGCATGGCATGGCAGGAAGGGGGCGAGCCAGTCGCGATGCATGCATGGCAATGCTTTTGCAAATTGAGCCCCATTGATTTGAATTGAACTTTGCATCCCAAGGAAGGACACAGCCCCATGCATGCATGCACGCACGCCGAATCTCCTCTTTCCAAACATTGCTTCCACTCTCGATTCCCCACTTTTCGAAAATCCACTCAAACTCAAACGCCAAATTCCCAGTCCCAGCATCCCAATTCCTCGATCCCATCCCGAAACCCCAACCCTCGAACAGGTTTTTTAAGCCTGTAAGTTCCAACCTTCAACTTTCTGCAAACAATCGAAACCTGTAAGCAACCACGTCATGCCTTCCGCCACCGATAAGTGGTGCTCCAATCCCCGATTGGAGCAACTGAGGAAGAAACAAGAGACTCACCGAGGCATGCGAAGCCAGCAGCGGAGGAGGCGAGCCCAGCAGCGGTGGGGAAGTTGTTGGCCGACACCACGTGCACTCGCAGCTGCTGCCACTGCCCCGCTGCTATCTCCACCTCCCGCTGCTCTCCCTCTCCCTGCCCGCCCTGCTGTGTGGAGTGGGGCGCGGGCAGGCGCCAGTGCGTGGCGGAGGCGCGCGCACGCAGGGCAGCCAGGCAGTTGCCGTAGCGGTGGCTGCTCATCGCCACCTCCTGATGCCGAGGGGAGTGAGGAAGGGGGGGGGGGGGGGGGGAGTGGGGAACTGCTGAGTTTCGAGTCGACTCAACAGTCGTCGCGTCACCTCGTTTTGCAATGCAATGCAATGCACATGGCACTGAAATGCGTGTTGTTGCGTGGTGGTGACAGGTGTGCTGCAGCGTTCAGATGCGGTATCGGGTGCAACCGCACCAGCCACATTGCCAGTTGCGTTATCAGGTGTGCTACAGCATCGCGCTATCAGGTTCGACCCGCACTGCATGGGCACGCACCTTCCCGTTGAGCCAGAGGCGGTCCGCAGTGAAGGACGGGCTGACGGCGACGGTGGTTTCGGCGGCTAGCTGGTCCACGTGGAGCGTCACGCTCACGCTGCCGTTAAGCGGCAGCACGCGCGCCTCGTCGCGCTTCCCCCAGTACTTAATCACCGCGATGTTGCTCGGCGCGCGCGCCGTCACTCCCACCACCCACGGCGCCGCCTCGCACGGCGCTTCGGTGGACGATGACATGGCGCTGCTAGTGCTGACGATCTCGAATAAATCACGCGTTATGCGTGACAGCCGGGGATTTGATCTAGATCACGATCCGCGTTGAATCACGCGGTCGGGCTCTTCCTAAAGAGATTTTTAAAAAGAAGCAGCAGTGGAATGCAGCGATGACGCCAAGTAACGCTTATTGTGAGCCACTAATGGAGAGCCGCAGTGGAATCGAGCTCGTAGCGCGGTCGCGAAAGGGCCAAAACAATGCTCGGATCAAAATGTAGCGAAGTTCTGTTTACAGATAACAAGCACAGGGTGCGGTGATAATCAAATGCGGTGACGGGTCAATCCTCCCTACACAGCCACGAGCTTCAACCAGAAACAGCGCGAGACGCGACTGAAGGCAGCTCGGCCCGCGAAACGCGTAGGTATCAACAACTGGATGCGGAATTCCCTATATTTGTCATGTGGTGAATGCACGAGAATTAGTAGCGATGACCGCGATTCTTGGGCACTGGGTGCAAGAGCCTTCCTTATTCTCGTCCTCATCTACACACTACGCGCACGAGAGCTCTCCCGGTCCACATGGTTCAGCGTGGACGCGCATGTAACGCGGTGGGAACCGGCAAGCTAAGCTCCAGCAGCCCCTCCAACAGAGTCGCAGAAGCAACGGTTGTCGTCACCGACGAGCGCACGGAATTCACAGGCTGGTCGTGGAATGGTGGAGACGAGAAAATGGGAGAAAATGGTGTGGCTGGGGGAAAAATCGTGTTTCTGCGAAAGTAACCCGATTGCGATGAACACGAGTGGATTCCGGTCAAATGTGAAGTGTCGGTTGCGCTATCCCCTGTGGTCCTCGCACCGAAGCCAACCGAATCGCCACAGGTGAACCTACAGCTACAGTACCCCGGAAAAGGGGTGTCCCAGTAATTATTTTGAAGAGCTAGTTTGTTGTGGTCCATTAATATACACTTTCATTATTCCAAAATGTTTGGAATTGAAACATGATGAAACATACACGTAGAAAGGGTATGGAAAATCCACGTCATCAAAATCCTTACTGAACAGCAATTTAGCTGTGTATTTCACGCACAAAGTTACCATGATGGGTGGGTGGGTGGGTGGATGTTGCTGGCTATGGATGAATCCTGGAGGGTTCTGGCTATGTTGTTTGGCTCTCATACAAGAGCAGGTAGCTTGTGCGTGCTCTGATGAGTCACGAATGAGACACTGCTGACGGAGGCTTTCGTCGGTAGCAGAGTCTCATGTTTTGAAGGCATGTTCAACCTCAGCAGCATCAAAAGAACAAATAGAAATGCTGAAATAAATATTTTAGTATTTACACAAAACAGGAAGAAAAAAAAACGCCAACTCTAAGCATGCTTATGGTAGTTTGACTCCAAAAATGGGCACTCATTGCTACTCTGTCTTGAGGCTTTTCTTGCCCCCCTTGGCCCTTGCTGTTCGGATGAAGTTGCCTGCTAGGATGAGCACCACCGGAACTATTGTACCATAGTAATAGAGCCCCCTGTATGCCTGTACTGTGTGCTGCAATGTCATAACCTGCCAGAAGGAGCATAGCAAGAGTAAAGGGGAATTCACTAATAATGGATGAAATGAACGAAAACAAGTGACTTGGGCACGTGAGTGATGGAGAGAGAGACCCCGAGGGGGGGAAGTGGGGGGCCAGGGGGGGAAGACACGAATGCGGTGCTCCACTGCAGCAATGCACAACAAAATAGAAACTGCTGGGAATTTCATGCACATGTTAGATTCATCAGATGTCGCCTCATCATGACGCAAGCACTCACACTGAAGCCGAAGCCAGCATAGTTGATGCAGAGCAGCACATAGAGGAAGTGCAGGAACGAGGCAACACGGCGGCGCAGCGAGCCCTGGGGTAGCGGGCGGGTCCAGCGGTAGATGACGCGTGACCCCGCTATCATGAGCGCCCAGTGCGCGAAGCCTATCAGATCCCCTGGATTCAAACCCTGCGAGGACAGGGAGGGGAGGGATAGAAATTTGACGGGTAAATCATGGGCTTTATACCTTGAGCGTAGCAGCAAGGATGCGAGGGCAATGAGAGGATGGAGAGTGTTCAATCACCCACTTGACATAGAGTGCGGATGGAGAGTTCACTCACATGTGAGATAGCACCATGGCACCCACACGACATGAGTGTTGGAGGAGCGGGCACTCACATGTGAGATGGCGCTGATGAAGAAGGTGAAGAGCAGGTTGAAGAGCGCACTCTTTCTTGGCATTGCCTCCAGCCGCTCGTACACGTCTGTGAAGGGGTGGTTGCGTGGGAAGAGGGACGGACGGGGAGGGGAGGGGGAGCAGCCAGGACAAGTGAGGGATAGCAAAGGAGTGAGCACAACGAAATGTAACATGAGGAACAATGCGGGGTCGCGTCATGGGGTGAAGTGAAGACGTGTGCAACATTGTGAAGTTGTTTGTTGAGGAACAATGGGGGGTCGCGTCATGGGGTGAAGTGAAGACGTGTGCAACATTGTGAAGTTGTTTGTTGAGGAACAATGGGGGGTCGCGTCATGGGGTGAAGTGAAGACGTGTGCAACATTGTGAAGTTGTTTGTTGGCATAGATGGGGATGGCACAGTCGAGGATGGCACTAACGAGGATGGCACTAACGAGGATACATACAGCAGCAACGGCCCCGATGCTTACAGATGCGCAGCCACGTGCTGAAGGAGATGTTCCAGTTCTTTGCCACGTCAGCGCCCGTGCTCGCCAGCTCCATGCCGAGGATATTCACATTGCGCGCCCTGTCCCACGACGCCACCTGTCGCTCGGCACCTGACGCCGCCACCTGCCGCCCGGCACGTGAACACGCAGGGGCGTCATCAGCATCAGTGCGAGTGGCGGCACCAGTGGCAGCACCAGTAGCAGGAGCAGCAGCAGGAGCAGGAGCAGGAGCAGCAGCGGTGGCAGCGTGTGCTCTTTTCTTCTCTCCACTTACTGCAGAGCCCTTCACTGCCGCTGTGCTGCCTCCCTGCTTGTTCACCAGCTCTCCCATCATCACTCTGCCACCATTCGCTACTGCTGTTGCGTCTGCTTGTCCTGTGCTGACACTCGTCCCACCATTCCTCTCTGCGTGGTTCTCCTTCCCATCATGCTCGTCTGCTGCCCCCTCCGCTGCAGCAGCCGGAGCGGCAGCACAAGCACCAGCAGCAGCAGCAGTCGTGTCAGCAGCAGCACCACCAGCAGCAGGGCCAGCAGAAGCAGCAGGGACAGCAGGGACAGCAGGGGCAGCAGCGGCGGTAGCACCAGGCTTAGTGACCCAACCGGAGAACCCCAGCCCGCCAGACACCATAGCAGCCTCGGCGATGGACCAGACGATGTAGCAGCGCCAGCGCGTGACGAGCGTGGCGTGGAAGACCAGCAGCAGGCGGCGCAGGAAGGGCAGCGCGAAGAAGCGCGCAGGGTCGGTGGCAAGGGAGAGGTCGAGGTGCGGGAAAATGAGGAGGAAGACGGCAGCTGCTAGTGCGCTTTGCATGAGCACACGGAGGAAGGGCGGGATGGGCGACGGGGAGCGCACTGCGGGGGACCACACCTGTTTGGGGGGGAGAGGGAGAGAGCAAGAGAGCAGGTGGGTGGAAAGAGAGCAGGTGGGTGGAAAGAGAGGGAGGCGGAGAGAGGGAGGGACGGTGGTGAGTGGGGAGAAAGAAGCGCGCGTGGAGGGTGGCGAGGGATAGGTCGACGTGCGGGAAGATGAGGAGGAAGACGGCTGCTGCTAGCGCGCCTTGCACGAGCACGTGGAGGAAGGGCGGGATGGGGGAGGGGGAGCGCACCGCGGAGGACCACACCTGGGGGAAGGTAGGAGGGGGGAGGGGGGGTGGGAATGGGAGATAAGGGGGGGAAGGGGGGGATGAGGGGAGAAAAGGGAATGGAAGAGAGGCGGGGGTGGAAATGAGTCTCACTCCAAACCCTAGACCCGAAAACCCTCGCTGGTAAGCTTATGCTTACATGTCGACCCATGGTCCCGATTATGAACGAATTCGTTAATATAAAACTCGTTCACGACCACGCCCAACTCATTAACTACCTCCCAGCCTTGAACCTCACTTTCAGGGTTCATGCTACACCTAATTCATGCTCCTGCCACTCTTTATCTGCTATGCACTCATCAGTGAGCCCTACCTACAAATACGAGTTTACAAATCCCACTAGGGTTTATTGGTTCCCATTGTTTACCTCCCAAATACGACTTATGCATTGCTTACCTCCCACTACGACTTTCCAGATTTCTGCTTCCTCCTTACCCACTCCCAGCACCACTAGGGTCCCAAGCGGTTCCACGCGGTTCCACGCCTCGCACTCACCCCGCGACGGCGCGTCCAGTCGTAATAGGATAGATAGGCGAACCACGGTCCCAACAGATGCTTGTTGAAGGCCTTTGAGACGCCAAATGTCTCGAAATTTTGCTCGTTAAAGGCTCCTGACACGTCGTCGCATCCTATACACTCACTCCGCGTCGATGTGTCCAGTCGTCGTAGGATTGATAGTCAAACCACGGCCCCAGCAGATGCTGCCCGCAGCAGAACAGATACCCTAGAAACTCCACAAGCGACGGCATCTCTTTAATCACTCTCGCACGCTTCTCCGCCTTTCTCCGATCATCGCCCGACGGTTGCTCGCTCTCTGGTTTCTCGCCGTCTTTCGCGCGCTTCGCGTCGTCCTTTAGGGCTTTAAGGCCGTCTTGGTAGTCCATGGCGAGTGACGTCAGCTTGATCGCCACGATCGTTAGAGTTCCCGTGAAGTCCACGCGGCCCGTTCGCCGCGCGTCGTCGCTCATGAAGATGACGTGGCTGCTCGGGGTTGGACGGAAGGGGAGGGGAGGCAGGTGAGTCGCGCGACGCGGGGGAAACGAATTTCGGCGGGAAGCGAATTGCAAAGGAAAAAAGCGGTGAAGCACGAAGCAAGAATAGACGTGCTTTGGTGGCGATATAAGAAGCGAGTCGGAACATATCCGCTAGGTGCGCCGCACATCCCGCGCTCTTTCCTGCTGAGTGCGCAGGATCTGATGCCATCGCGATCAAATCCACGTACCATGCGATGAGATGTGCGAAGGTACCAATGAATGTAACCAGCCCGCAGATTCTTCGCTGCGTTCGCATGACGACGAGCGTGAAGGCCGCAGCGAGGATGAAATGCAGCAGCACATCGGGAGTGAAGGAGATTAAAGAAAGAAGTACGCCGGAAACTGCGGCGTACACGTGGCGGAGCGCGGGTGGGCCGATAAACCGGTGAAGGTATGCAAAGGGGATGGAGGAAAGTGCGCCGACGAGGTACGCTGCTGCGGAATAATCTACACCGAAGGTATCGGAGAATAGTCTCACGGGATCCATGGCTCTCATAAACGATTTGCGCGGGTTACGTTCGTAAGCTATGGCGGGATTCTCTGAACAATATTGAATATGTTTTTTATATCAATAGGTCGTTATCGAGTAAGCTCCCTTCCTGACTAAAGTTCGAGGTGTACGCGAAAGCGCACGAATTTGGTGATATCCACAATTCTAGCTCTACAAATCGCAGAGCTAACGCAATTCATAAGTTATAAACGTCCATCGCCCCACTGCTGCTGTGGTTGTCTAGTGGCCAACAACACGCCGCCAATGACCTTGATGGCTAGCTGTCGGTTCCGCTAGGCGCGCGGGACGAGAGAAGGAAGACATGGAAGAAGGGGCATCGGGAGAAAGGAAGGGCGTTTCGTGGGACATGCGAAAAGCGTGTGACGAGGAGTAGCACAGTGCAACAGAACAGAGGCTGGGGAGGGGACCGTACTGTGTAAACAACCAACCATTGGCTTCGGAAGGAATGTCTAGAAGCTTATGCATTTGGTGAATGTCGTACTTCTCGTCTGGGACTGGTTCCAGAGGGAATGGTTAAAACCCGCAGCCTGAATTACAAAAAGTGTTTGGAGGTGTTAACACTTCCCCTCCCGAACCAGGGTGGTAACCAGGTGTCCTCCTCGTGTGTGTCAGGACATCGCAGGCAACACAGGGAATGATCGCTTGGGTGTGGCAACGAGTCTGGCCCTGTCGCCTTAGGGTTTCTTCTTTCCGTAGTCTACGCTCATCCCTCCCGTCGCGTATATTCCCCTGCGTCACCCACCGTCATCCCGCCAGTCGCGTTTATATATTCCCCCGCATCGCCCACGCTCATCCCTCCCGTCGTCGAGAAACATATAACAAAGATAGGTGGCCCACGCTCACTCCCTTCCCGTCGCCCTCGCGCCCCTCCAACGTCCACGCTCACTCCCCCGCGTCGTCTTCGCTCATTCCCCTCCGTCGCCCATGCTCTCTCCCTCCCGTCGCGTTCGCTCACTCCCCTTCCGCCGCCCTCGCTCACTCCCTCCCGTCGCGTTAATTCGATAGTCGCAATACCGTCGCGACATCGGTGTCGCGTCGGCAGAATCGAGGCGCGGCTCGCCGACTTCGCGGCCGTCGCAGCCTCGTCTCGTCAGATTTCGCTGCCTAACGTCGTAGCGTCCTCCCACCCTGCCGTCGCAGAGTTCTTTCGCCGCGTTCTGACTGCCAAGGCCTTCGCCGTGCTTTCGCCGTTAGTCGCATGCGCGCTGTTGCATCGCGCCTTCCCCGCCGTCGAATTGTCACGCTGGAATTCCAACCCGATCCGGTCGTTCAGCAGCCGCGCCATCGTCGCGCTCTCTCACTTTCTCCAAGCGTCCGCCTCGTCCGCCTCACGCCCATCGCTTTCATCCCCTTCGCTACCTCCGTCTGCACTCCGCACGTCAGCGCACCGTCCAGATTTTCCCTTCACCACTCTTGAACAACCAGCAGGCATGTCTCCGGTCCTCCTCTCCCTCTTCCCCCTCCTCTCATTCCTTACTCTAATCCCTCTCCACTCCCTGGAGGGAGCGGCAGTGGCAGCTTTTCCCCATCGCACACGGCGCACTCCCCTCCGACGCCTACGCTCTCTCCCCTCTCGTCGCACACGTGCGCTCTCTCCTCTCCTCCCCGTCCATCATCTCCCCATCCCTCATCTCCCCATCCCTCATCTCCCCATCCCTCATCTCCCCATCCCTCATCTCCCCATCCCTCAACTCCCCATCCCTCAACTCCCCATCACTCTTCTCCCCTTCCCTCACCTCCCCATCCCTCATCTCCCCATCCCTCATCTCCCCATCCCTCCCCACCCCATTCCGCCCCATCCCATTCCGCCCCACCCCATCCCGCCCCACCCCATTCCGCGCAATCCCCTTTGTCGCGCACCCTCACTTCCCTCCGTCCCGGATGATCACTCCTTCCCGTCGCCCGCGCGCACTCCCCTCGAACGAGCACGCACGCTCCCTTCCCGTAGCCCACACGCACTCCCTTCCCGTAGCCCACACGCACTCCCTTCCCGTAGCCCACACGCACTCCCTTCCCGTCGGCCACGCTCATTCCCTTTCCATCGCCATCGCGCAATCCTTCCGTCTCCCCATGTCCTCCTCTCCCCACCTCCTCACTTATATCTCCTCTTCTCCCCTTCCTCCCTCACCCCATCTCCTCCTCTTTCTGTCCACCCCTCCTCCCCCATCTCCGCCTCACCCCATCTCCTCCTCTTTCCATCCAAGCCTGCACACCCCATTTCGCCTCTCCCCATCCATCCTCTCCCCATCCGTCCTCTCCCCATCCATCCTCTCCCCATCCGTCCTCTCCCCATCCGTCCTCTCCCCATCCGTCCTCTCCCCGTCCGTCCTCTCCCCGTCCGTCCTCTCCCCGTCCGTCCTCTCCCCGTCCGTCCTCTCCCCGTCCGTCCTCTCCCCGTCCGTCCTCTCCCCGTCCGTCCTCTCCCCGTCCGTCCTCTCCCCGTCCGTCCTCTCCCCGTCCGTCCTCTCCCCGTCCGTCCTCTCCCCGTCCGTCCTCTCCCCGTCCGTCCTCTCCCCGTCCGTCCTCTCCCCGTCCGTCCTCTCCCCGTCCGTCCTCTCCCCGTCCGTCCTCTCCCCGTCCGTCCTCTCCCCGTCCGTCCTCTCCCCGTCCGTCCTCTCCCCGTCCGTCCTCTCCCCGTCCGTCCTCTCCCCGTCCGTCCTCTCCCCGTCCGTCCTCTCCCCGTCCGTCCTCTCCCCGTCCGTCCTCTCCCCGTCCGTCCTCTCCCCGTCCGTCCTCTCCCCGTCCGTCCTCTCCCCGTCCGTCCTCTCCCCGTCCGTCCTCTCCCCGTCCGTCCTCTCCCCGTCCGTCCTCTCCCCGTCCGTCCTCTCCCCGTCCGTCCTCTCCCCGTCCGTCCTCTCCCCGTCCGTCCTCTCCCCGTCCGTCCTCTCCCCGTCCGTCCTCTCCCCGTCCGTCCTCTCCCCGTCCGTCCTCTCCCCGTCCGTCCTCTCCCCGTCCGTCCTCTCCCCGTCCGTCCTCTCCCCGTCCGTCCTCTCCCCGTCCGTCCTCTCCCCGTCCGTCCTCTCCCCATCCGTCCTCTCCCCATCCGTCCTCTCCCCATCCGATCGTCTCCCCCATCCGATCCTCTCCCCCTCTCCACTGTCCTCGGCCTTGCGGAACCCCCCCATCCCATGTTCTTTGCTTCACTGTGGAGCTGCTTGGGGCGCTGTGGGCGGATGGCGGCGGGCAGAGTCGCGCACCAGAGGCCTACGTGGTGCTGTAGGGGTCCCTTCCCCGTTCATTCCTTTGTTCCTCCCTTCATCCATCCATCCTTCCATCCATCCCTCCCGCCGTCTGTTCCTCCCTTCCTCCCTACATCCCTTCCTGTTTGCACCGCACTTCACCTCCCCCTCCCCTCTCAGGGAAAGAAGGGGAAACGGAGGAGAGTGAGGCGGAGTAGGGGAAGAATATGATTCGATGGTGAAAAGAGAGTGCAGGAAGGAGGGTGTTGGTTAGGCCGCCTGTGTCTCCCTCCTCTTGTCTCTTCTGCCGTCGACACCTCCCATCACCCTCTGCAACATCTCTCCAGCTGCAACTTCGCGAGCTAGTGTTGGTCATGTACGTCCCCCCTGTTTCGCCCCATACCCCCAATTGTTTTTACCCATCCCCCTCCCCTTTGTCTCCCCTTTATACCTTAGATCCTATTTTTCCCCGCCCCCACACCCCCTTCTGCAGCTACAATCGGAAGAGCGTACTACGGCTGCTGCTGTGGCGAGCGGGTGTTGTTGCATTCGAGAGTCAGGCAGTCACTATCCCCTCAACCCACCCTGTCCTATCCCCTCACCCCGCACCATCTCAGGCGAGCATGACAGAGGCCCAGACGCCCTGCATGGACATGCCGCCTCCGCTTGCTCCTGTTCCCAGCATCTCATAGGCCCACAGGAGCCACATTGCATATAGGGCCAGGACAGCATGCAGATTCAAAATGATGACTCACTCGAGCTTGTCTTGTATCCTAGTGCTGCATGCTTATGTCATGTGTATTTACATCTCATATAAATTATGCATGGGTCTAAAAGGTCTGAATACTATTCCATTGTACAAGATCACAATCAAAACTAACGGAGGCTACCATATCAGCAGCATGAATGAAACGCAACTTGAGTACAGTATCAAGATGTTGTCATATGCCGTTATGTCACAATGGGGCACACAGTAGCTCAAATGAAATCAAATCGTACTTGGTTTCTCCATGCTGCAAAGCATAGCTCACAATGAGAGGGAATGTGTGTAGGACTGGATGAGAGAGGGGAGGAAGGGATGAGAGGGGAGGAAGGGATGAGAGGGGAGGAAGGGATGAAAGGGGAGGAAGGGATGAGAGAGGGGAGGAAGGGACGAGAGAGAGGAGCACGTGTCGAGAAATGAGGACAGGGGGTAGAGTGGAGGACTGTGGGGAAAAAAGAGAGGGGGAAGAGAGGGGGACAGTGGGAAGAGAGGAAGACAGGGGGAAGAGAGGAGGAGAGGGGGAAGAGAGGAGGACAGTGGGAAGAGAGGAGGACAGGGGGAAGAGAGGAGGCCAGGGGGAAGAGAGGAGGAAAGGGGAAGAGAGGAGGAGAGGGGGAAGAGAGAAGGACAGGGGAAGAGAGGAGGACAGGGGGAAGAGAGGAGGAGAGGGGGAAGAGAGGGGGACAGTGGGAAGAGAGGAGGAGAGGGGGAAGAGAGGGGGACAGTGGGAAGAGAGGAGGACAGGGGGAAGAGAGGAGGACAGGGGGAAGAGAGGAGGAAAGGGGGAAGAGAGGAGGAGAGGGGGAAGAGAGGGGGACAGTGGAAAGAGAGGAGGAGAGGGGGAAGAGAGGAGGACAGGGGAAGAGAGGAGGACAGGGGGGAGAGAGGAGGACAGGGGAAAGAGAGGGGGACAGGGGGGAGAGAGGAGGACAGGGGGGAGAGAGGAGGACAGTCAGGCTTGGCGAAGGCAGTAGATAGGGGATACAGGAATAGGAGAGAGAGAGAGGCGGTAAGAAGAGAGAGGAACAGGGAGAAGAGGGGAGAGGGTGAAGGGGTGATAGGAAAGGGGGGAGGGGGAAGGAGGAACTGAGCGCAATCAGGGGGGGGGGAACTGAGCGCAATCAGGTGGGGGGACTGAGCGCAATCAGGTGGGGGGACTGAGCGCAATCAGGGGGGGGGGAACTGAGCGCAATCAGGGGGGGGAACTGTGCGCAATCAGGGGGGGAACTGAGCGCAATCAGGGGGGGAACTGAGCGCAATCAGGGGGGGGAACTGTGCGCAATCAGGGGGGAACTGAGCGCAATCAGGGGGGGAACTGAGCGCAATCAGGGGGGGAACTGAGCGCAATCAGGGGGGGAACTGAGCGCAATCAGGGGGGGAACTGAGCGCAATCAGGGGGGGAACTGAGCGCAATCAGGGGGGGAACTGAGCGCAATCAGGGGGGGAACTGAGCGCAATCAGGGGGGAAACTGAGAAAGACATGAATTAGAATGCAAGTTGCGACGTGGGCGGATTGGGACCTGATGCGACTGAAGATTGGCAGTGAGAAGGGGGAAGTGGACTCGGCAAAAAGGAAGCAGCAGCGATTGAAGGGACAGTAGGTGTTCGAATGGGAAGAGGAGAGAAGGCGGCGGGATGGAGAACCAGGGCGTCGGCGCGAGAGAGGGGAGTAGGCATGGGCGACGGGAATTCCTACGACGTCGACGCAGCGACAGGTGGGAGAGGAGAGGTCGACGGGGCGAGCGATGGGGAGGGGAAGCGAGGGCGACGGGCGGGGAAGCGAAGGCGACGGGCGGGGGAAAGCGAGGTCGACGGGCGGAGGAAGAGAGGGCGACGGGCGGAGGAAGAGAGGGCGACGGGCGGAGGAAGAGAGGGCGACGGGCAGAGGAAGAGAGGGCGACGGGCGGAGGAAGAGAGGGCGACGGGCGGCGGGGCGGCGAGGTCGACGGGCGAGGCGAGGGCGGTGGGCGGAGAAAGCAAGGGCGACGGTCGAGGGTCGCGAGGTCGGCAAAGTGCTAATTTCTCTTCTCCTCACGCCCACTTTTTCCGTGCTTGACACACGCATCTGGCGCCTGCGTTTCCCTTCGATTGCATATACGCACTGCACCTACTAATTCCTTTCGTTCTGAAATGTGCTCACTAAAAAACCCTAGTGGTGTGCGATGGTCAGAATCTGAAGGCGAGCAATGAATTGTTTGCTATTCTGTCGCACATTTTCTCACTCTGCTCCAGCCCCTCAGGTTGTCGCTTTTTGTTTTCGCTAGCTCGCAACTTTCGCGATTCTTACAAACCTCACCCAAACCAACCCGAACCAAACCCGAACCTAGCGTTGACTCAGATTTGTAATTCAGGCTGCGGGTTTTAAACCAGCGAAATCCATAAAAAAATCGTGATTATTAATGTTACAGAAAGTATTTCGCGAATCCAAGACCTCTCTTCAAACCGCGTCCCAGTTGGCCGGACTGGGTTTTGTGGTACACACGGGGTTACGCATGGCAATTCCCTCGCAGCGGCGCAATGGGTGTGGGCGGGAGTGACCGCCACACGACGCGACGCGACCATCACCGCTGCTGCCGTTGCCGAAACATGCTCGCTGGTCCATCGGTTCCGTCCCTCCACCTCCCACCGAATCGCGCCAACCAATAAATGCCGGAGTGTCAAATTGACATCAAATGCCGCGGTGCGCCCTCCCTCTTCCCCAGATGTTTGTGCAGCGGGTGTTCATGTGATGACCAAGCCTTTCAACTGGTCTGGGTCCAATCAACTGGACTGATACTGTACCGCGCTCGCCCCACCACTTCGGCTCAGATTTTGGGGGGGAAAGCACTCGATTGTGGGCGCGCGAATGAAGCTGTGAACGACTACAGTTTAAGACATGCATATGTATTTATCATTCTGTAGCCGAATATAACATCAATATACCGTAAGCCCCCGGATAGAAGCGCAGGCCTCGGATAAGCGCCGGCGCTTATAAAAGGATGAGGGCGCTTATATCCGGTCCTCGATTATAAGCGCACCCCTGAAGGCTTACGGATTATAAGCGCCACCCTCTTTTGATTAAATATAATTTTACTGAAATTCTTGTAACGAAACACAACATTTCCATTCCCACGTATTGAATTCCGATGACTTTCACCCTCGCTCGGCTCACTGCCAGCGCGTCAAGTCAGCTTGAGCTTTCGGGGGCGCACGCTGACTCATTCTGACTGTGTGTTGGCAGGGAGTCAATCCCTCCCAACTTGCACGCGAGATTCTGAATCACATACCTGTATTGTTTCGGCTCGATTCAATTCGCAAGAACTAGATCTACATTTTGGTGTAAAATCGACAAATTTCATATGTGCTATTATATAAGCGCCGGCGCTTATAAAAATCCTCAATTATAAGCCCACCCCTTGAAAAAAACAGTGTTTTATTACAACCCCAGGGGCGCTTCTATCCGGGGGCTGACGGACAGATGACACCTAAATGGCAACAGAAGCGTACTGAGTAGCTAAAAGTGGATAAGTACAACAATTTACAACACCAATTGTTTCGAACACACCACATTATAGAAGTAAAATTTCTCATATTCACCTAATAATGCACCCAACCAGATTTTTCAGTAGCACGCTGCCAATGCATGACATGTGGTAGGAGTGTGAGTCCATGACCTCTGGAAGACCATAGAGAGTGGGAGAACACGGAGGGTGGGATGGGAGAGAAGGGAGGGTGGAGGAACAGGGAGGGTGGAAGAACAGGAAAGGTGGGAAAGCAAGGAGGGTGGGAGAACGATCGGGGGGGAGCAGAGGAGGGAGGGAGGTGGGGGGTGCTACGATCAGAGAATGATCGCTTTACCAGGATCTACTCGGGAAGGTTCGCACGTGGGTAGATAGTTGGTGGGCCCTTGACCTCAATAGCAGAGTGAATGTAAAATGCTTGAGATGATGAAAACATGCAAATACAACGATATAAATAAGAGTACAGGGGAATACGAAGCGACCTAACTAGCCATGTACTCTAAGGGGTACATTCCCTTATTCAAATACATTCCCAACCGTGCGGCGCGTACAGTTACGAAACTGTTCCCGCCGAAACCATCCTGCCTGCAGCTGCCCGATGCCGTCTGCTCCGACGGTCCAGATGCGCCCCAACCGTCTGATGCTTCGAGTCAATCTCCAACCGTCTGACGGTTCGCGTTCTTGCTTCGATACTGCGTGCTTCTCTTTGCTGCGGTGAGGAGTGCTCGGTAACAATTAAATATTACTATTCGTAACACCCCCCTTCACTCCTGGCCGTAGCTCGATTTGACCTGCTTGACCACGCCGCTGAGTTCGGAGCAGTGTTGATACTGCTGGCGTGGCAGTCGCTTCGTGAGGAAGTCTGCTGCCATGTCACCGGTCGGGCAATAGGTCAAGTTGACCTTGCCCTTGTCCACCTCGTCCTTCACGAAGAAGTATCGCAGCGCAATGTGCTTGGTGCGATTGACGAAACCAGGTTTGTTCGCGATGCGAATCGCACTCTGGTTGTCGCAGTGAAGTCGAAAGGTTGGCGAAGCTGGAATTTTCGCCTCCTGCAGGAGTTCCTGTAGGTAGAGGCCTTCGCGAACTGCTGCGGTTGCTGCGATGAATTCTGCTTCGGCTGACGACAGGGCAACCAGCTCCTGCTTCTGTGAGTTCCAGGAGATTGGCCCCGTTGGTTCGAGTCGGAACAGGAAGCCAGTCCTGGACCGTCGATTGTCGGGATCTGCTGCATGATCGGCATCCACATAGCCGACGAGATTGAAGGATGGGGTTGGTGCAGTTGAGTAGCACAGCCCAATCTTGGGCGTTGAAACGAAAAATTGCAAAGCGCGCTGCAGGTCCAGGTGATTCTCAGCCGTTGGTTTCCGTGAGTACTGGGCAAGCTGACTTGCGATGTAGGAGAGGTCTGGCCTGCAGGTGACAGAGGCGAAGAGGAGGCATCCCAGCTGCTGCTGGTAAGTCTGAACTCCAGCAGGGGATAGGGCTTTGTTGTCGGGTTTGTGGTTCGGTCCAGGGGTTCGGTAGGGTGTCGAGAGAGGTGCAGGGGGAATGTTGAACCGCTTCCCTAACTCCTCTGCGTACTTAGCCGCTGAGAGGTGAATGGCTTCAGGCGCGTAGGAGATGTTGAGGCCTAGGAACTGCTTCACCTCGTAATTGCACGTGATGTCGACGCGCCCCGCCAAAGCCTTCTCGAACTGTTCGAGCAGCTCGTTGTTTGAGCCCGTGTAGAGCAAGTCGTCGACGTAGACCGTGAGGAGGATGTATTCCCCGCGGAAATCGCGGCGGTACATCCCTGGGTCGTGGGGCATCTGCTTGAACCCGATTTCAAGCAGGATATTGTGCAGGTACTGCTGTCACAGCCTCGGTGCTTGTTTGATCCCGTAGAGCGACTTGCGCAGTTGACACACGCGTGAATTTCCTTCGCCATAGGTGTGCGGCTGCTCCACGTAGATCACGGCGTCTACTAGCGCGTACAGGAACGCATTCTTCACGTCGATCTGGCGGAGTGGCAGGTGCCTCGCAGCTGCGATGGCGAGCAGGATTCGAACGGAGGTGTGGCGACTGACTGGAGCGAATGTCTGGTCGAAGTCGATGCCGTGCCTCTGGTCATAGCCGCGCACCACCCATCGCGCCTTGAAGCGCTCGATCGTTCCGTCAGCTGCGGTCTTCACGCGGAAGACCCACTTCCCCGAAAGGATTCTTGCACCTTTGATTGCCGCACGGTCGACCAGCACCCAGGTGTCTCGGGACTCGAGCGCCTTGATCTCCGCATCCATTGCCTCGCGCCACTCCTTGCTGTGTGGCCCAGACAGAGCTTCGCGCGGGTTTCGGGGCTCGATTACACGTGGCGCCTTCGAGGTTGCGGTGTGAAGCCCGAGCAGCTGTAGTCCTGAGATGGTGCTGTCGTGGCGATGTTGCGGGACGACTTCCTGCACATCGTCGTCGTCGCTTTCCGGTTCAGGTGGCGCTGGTGGTGCTGCGCCTCTGCCGCTTCCGCCTGTTCCGCCCATTCCTCCTCCTGAGGAATCGTCGTCGTCGTCGCTGCTGCGCCGATCCTCCCATGTGAACTCGCCCCTTGTATCCTGCTCCAGGATTGCTGCAGCGGCCTCGTCTTCGGGCGTTGCGTAGCTGTGCCCGTCGTTCGCGTAAACGCGATTCGCGTTCGTTTCCTCGTCGTGACGGAATTGGTCGAGGAAGAGCCGCTCGTAGAAGATTACATCGCGAGCGTGGGCGGTTTTCTGACTGAGGAGGTCCAGTACGATCCATGCTTTGTACTCGTGACTGATGCCGAGGTGAATTCCCCAGCGCGCGCGACTGGCGAATTTGCCGATGGTTGATGTTGGCGGGCGGTACTGCACCATGCACCCCCACACGCGGAGCATGGAGGTATCCCCCTTGGTCCCGGTCCATTTGACGTGCGGGGAGAGATTCCCGGTGATCGCGGTGGTTGAAAGCAGGTTGTGCACCCGCACGGCGTGGTGCATCGCGTAAGTCCAGTAGATCGGCGGCAGCTTCGACTGCTTCATCAGCGCCCGCACCTTCGTTATCAGTGTGCGATTCGTCCGCTCGGCTACGCCTTGCTGCTGATGTGCGTAGGGGAGAGAGATGTGATGCTCGATCCCCTTTTGCGCCAGGTAAGTCTGCATCTGGTTGCTCCTGAACTCTGCTGCGCCGTCAGATTGCCAAATCTCCAATTTCTCCCCAGATTGCCGTTGCGCGTGCGCCAGCCAAAGGCGGAACACTTCGTAGGCCCTGTCGCGAGTTTCCACGTTCACGACCCACACATAGCGTGTTCCAGCGTCGATGAAGGTGAGTGTGTAGAGCTCGTCGTCGACCCCGCAGTGCCCCACGTTGAGAAAGTCGCTGTACACTTTGTGCAGCTTGGGGTAGCGGTTCGTTCCTGGCTCGAGCAGCGGGAACGGTTGGTGGCTTAGCGCAGCTTCGGGGCAGACGGTGCAATTGCGCGGATGTGTTGCACCTCTTACTTCACTGCCATCTGGGCGTAGGAGCGAAGACGCCTGCGTCGATGCAGTTTTTCAGTGTTGCGCGTGAGGGATGTCCGAGGCGCTGGTGCCAAAGTGCATCGTCGGCGCGAAAGCCGGAGGTGCGCATGTAGCGCGCGCGGGCTTCCTCCGGGTCTTCATCAGGTACGGGGGCAGGTTCTGCTGCTGCTTCTTCTGCATCTTCTTCTTCTTCTGCCGCGGTAGTCAGCATCAGCGCCAGAAACTCTCTGTCGCGAATCTCAGAGAGTGAAATGTTGGTCCCAGGGATGGTTCCAGGGACGAGGGTTGGTTCGCGTGGTTCGGGAGCCGGTCCGTAAGCGGTGCGACGCGGGGTTGACGGCTCGTTGCCCCAGACGATGGTGTCCCATGGATCGCGGCGCGGTGGGTTGTCGGGAGGAGGTAACGCGAGTGGGACATGGCGTGGGGGACGACCGAGGGGAACAACTGCAGACTCTCCAGCTTCTTCTTCTCCCCCCCTTTGGTCTTCGCGGGAAGTCCCCCAGTCTCCAGTAGGGGTGCCCCAGCCACTCGTGTCGGCGCCAGATGCGGCGCCCCATCCGCCGGTTGCGGTTGCCCAGGTTCCGCCGGTGTTGCCC